TCAGAAATAAATTTAATTTTTATTTTTAAAAAATTTAATGTTTATTTTTGAGAGGGGGTGGTAGGGTGCAGAAAGAGAGGGAGACAGAGAATCTGAAGCAGCTCCAGTCTCCAAGCTGTCAGCAGAGAGCCTGATGCAGAGCTCGAACCCACGAACCGGGAGATCTCAACCTGAGCTGAAGTTGGACAGGCGCCTAACCAACTGAGCCACCCAGGTGCCCCCAAATAAACTTAAGTTTTTGAAGAATATATGTAAAATATCAAACTCTTAGTAAAAACTTGATGCAAAATAGGTTACACTTTCGTCCAAGTAAAAACATGAGCAAGAACCTTGCAATATGATCTCCTTGTATAGTTCAGAAAACACCATCATATTTAAGAGAATTCCTTCATTCCAACCGCCATAAGTGAAATAATAGAGACGGCTTGAGGCTCAGGTCAGTTCGCATACTCCATTCACAACAGCCCCGCGGAGCTGGGCCTCGGGGAGCAGGCTGCTGGCCCAGCAGCGGGAGCACACGGGCGAGAGGGTCCCAGGGACTTGGGGGCTCCCAGGAGCCTGGCCCAGAAGCGCTGCACCTGCCAGGTGGCCCCGTGGCTGGAGCCTCTGGAAAGGTGGCAGGAGCAGAGCCGTGGCCGTGCTGGTGGCCTGGGGCTGTCAGCGCAGGGACTCTCCGCTCCAACCAGCACCTGGCATTACACGTTCTGTCTTTAAAGTGTGGCCTCTGGTGCCTGCCATCTCCCTTCTTCCCTGTGAGCAGTTTAAGACTCTTTCAGTTCCGTGGAAATAAAAATCCCATTATCTTGTTTGCTGTTTTATAAAGAGCTCATCCCCCCTATCAGGAAACGCAATTGCACTGGCTTCAGCGCGGGCAGAGAGGGGACACACCTGACGCCACTCAGACGCCACAGAAAGCTCCGTCCCGACACAACTGCGTGTGGCTCCTCTGCCGCCCTCCCTGCACATCCCTCAGCTGGCACAGAAGTCACCGGAGTCCTCCTCCGACCTGACCACAACCCACACCCGGCATGGGCCACGGACAGAGCCCTCGGGAGGCCTGCCAGCTCGAGCCCCGCGTGCCCGGAGTGGACCCCTCCCCACGCCCCACGGCACAGCCCCCGTCCTCTCACACATCCGACAGGCGGCCGACAGGAAGTCCGGGCCCACATTTCTCTGAGGCCTGGCCCCTCTCCTCCCTGGAAATCAGCCCTGCCCTCCTCTCTGCACAATTCTTGGCCACCCACACAGTCACCAGTGTGCCCTGCATCCTGCACCCTGGCAGGTGTGAGAAAGCAGACATGCCCAGGGTGAGGGAAGGGGCAGGTGTGGAGGGCGCCTCTGCGAGGGAGCAGGTGGCACGTGTGACATAGAGGCTCTGGAATGGGTGCCCGGAAACCCCCTTGGGAAGGCTTCCCATTCTCATTAGGAGCAGGCACCCGTGTGAAGGAGGGAGGACAGGAAGGGGTGCTCACTGCCTGGGGAGCACAGTCTCAGGGGGCTCCTAGGAACCTGTAAGCTCAGCTGGCACGACCCCGTACTTGGTGAGGCGCCCACAGGCGGGCTTCCCATGCCCGGGGGAAGCTAGTGAATCTGCTTTCCCTTCTCCACTACCACCGGGCCTGCCTCGGATCCAAGATTTGCCTGCACATGGAGCTCGCACATCCCACTGGGGCCATGACCGGAACCGGCATGTCCCGGGTCGGGGTGAGTGCTGGGCCAGGCAGAGGCGATCTGCTCCCCAGTGCCCCCAAGGGGACAGGAACCGGCTACACCTCAGGATTGGCACACAGCTCCCAGGAGAAGAGCCGAGGCTGCCTGAGCTTGTGATCTGGGTGAAACACGGAAAGGCGTCTCCCAGCCTTCAGTATACACCACTAAGCCGTGGGGAAGCAGGACGCTCAGAACCAACTACTCTTCTTAATTCAATTTTCTGGATGCCACAGAATTAAATGGAAAGGTTTTAAAACAGATCAGGGGCGCCTGGGTGGCTCAGTCAGTTAAGTGTTCGACTTTGGCTCAGGTCATGATCTCACTGTTCGTGAGTTCAAGCCCCATGTCGGGATCTGTACTGACAGCCCAGAGCCTGGAGCTGCTTCAGATTCTGTGTCTCCTTCTCTCTCTGTCCCTTCCTCGCTCATGCTCTGTCTCACTCTCTCAAAAATAAATAAACGTTAAAATATTTTTTAAATTAAAGAGGTATAAGTGATAAGCCAAGAGACATAAGATGGAATCATAAAAAATGCTCAATTAATCAAGGAGGAAAACAGAGGAAAAATAAAATACGTTTCCTGGACTCTGAAAGCGCACTGGTATTTTAAGCAATGTTGACCTGGTTCCTGTCTGTGGACCACCCCCCACTGAGCCTTCCAACATTCGTAATTAGGCCTTTTATCAACAAAGGAAGTTTTTCTTCCACTGTTTACTGTTACTTCTTTTCTAATTATTCGTCCTTAGAAAGACCTGTAATTCCTAGTTTGGACTCTGGTCTTTCACTGTTTCAATTTGTCCCTCTGTGTCCTGAGACTCTCCTCAAGCACATAACTGACCCCTTACTCCTTACGGAAAATACCCCCTCATCACCTTTAGTGTGGACTTTGATTCTTATTTTATGCATTTTCTCTAGTTATTTATTGTTAAGCCTGTTCTCTCCATGGCTTTCTATTCCTTCTCATGGAAGCCATTTCTTCTTACAGCCTACCATTGGGTTGTGGTTTGCTGCCCGTATTTCTTCCTCTGGTTGATTGTCTCCAGAGGTCGTTCCCTCTCTGGGTCCTCAGGATAATATTCTTTCATTTCTTTTTTTTTTTTTTTTTTTTGAAATAGTTTATTGTCAAGTTGGTTTCCATATAACACCCAGTGCTCATCCCCACAAGTGCCCTCTTCCATGCCCATCACCCCCCATCCACTCCCCCCACCCCCATCAGCCCTCAGTTTGTTCTCAGCATTCAAGAGGCTCTCATGGTTTGCCTCCCTCCCTCTCCGCCACCATTTCCCCCCTTCTTCTCCCCCATGGTCCTCCGTTAAGTTCCTCCTAATCCTCCTATACGTGCAAACATATGGTATCTGTCCTTCTCTGCCTGACTTATCTCGCTCAGCATAACACCCTCAAGGTCCATTCATGTTGCTACACAGGCCAGATTTCATTCTTTCTCATTGCCATGGAGTATTCCATCGTGTAGATAAACCACATCTTCTTGATCCATTCGTCCGTTGATGGACATTTAGGCTCTTTCCATGTTTGGCTACTGTTGCGAGCACTGCGTGAACAATCTATTTCCCAGCACTCCATTCATCACTCTTGGTCCGCTCAGCCCTCAGAGAGCGGTCATGTCCAGACTCTGCGGGTGCCAACAAGCAGGGTTCAGCGGGACCTTCTCTTTCCAGACACTGTTAAGGGCCGTGCACACCTCCAGCCCAAAACAGACCTGCTGGACTCAGATTGGGCCTCCTCTTCCTTAACGTCTCTTAGACACTCTGAACGAAGAGTGAAACTCCACAAAACTACCTTCTGCAGTAAGCACTGCCGGTGGGACCCTTCTAATCTCCACACGTCCTCAAGGATAATTTTGGCAAAATTATATTTTGCCATTCATCTCCTTCTTGGTATTTCCTGGTGTTGGGGTCTCGAGGCAGAGGGGAGGAAGGAGGTGCCAATGGAGGGTGGGCACAGGGGTGGAGAGGTGTCTGTAAAAGCAGACAGCAGCATTCACCGAAGGGAGAAGCAGTCTTCCGGGGGGATGGGAAGGTGCAGACAGAGGCTTTGGTCCAAAACACAGCCGGCAGTGGCAGATGCTCAATCCCTAGACGCCATGGCACTTCCAGGGGCATCCAACAATCTCACACCTAGAAGTGGGTCAGGGCTTTGTCCCTTCTGTGTCTTCCTGAGCCTCTGCTGGGACTTAGAAAAGCCAGTATGGCTGCTAACGTCATGCCAGCTTATTCTGGAGGCTGCTGGAGGTTACTGGTTACTGCTGGAGGAGTGGCTAGGCTCCTCTCAATTCCAATTTAGTCAAATTTCACAAATAAGGATTTGGGGAGAGGGACGGGTAGATGAGGCAACAGGGGGATGAGCCTGTTTCGAGAATTAAAATCTCCACATCCAGTCATGAAACATGGCATCTGGCGGGGCTCTGCTCTGCATTAGCGAGAGCTCCCCGCCATCTCTCGACCACCAGGCATCCATCTCTTCCTTCCTTCTTCCACCGCTGGCCAAGCACCAACTGGTGGCACGTGGCAGGCACGCAGCTCTGGGAGATGACGGTGAGCAGACGGTCGTGTCTCTGTCCACAGAGCTCCTCGGCCAGTGAAGGAGGAAGAGCACACCTTCCAAAGAAGCCAGACACATACACATTTACGCAGAGGTGACAGATGCTCAGCACTGTCCCAGGGCGTCGGGTGACATGGGCAGGTGGCCTCCCAGACCCCCTCCTGGTAAAAGATGCCCCAGTTCTGCAGTGAAATCTTCCTGAGGCTGGCTAAGTAGAAGTCGCATGTGGCTGGAGGGATTGAACCCCAGTCTGGGCCCGCACTGCCTACCCTCACCCGTCACGGGGCCAGGTTACACTAGCTGCTGGCACAGGCCATCCACGGCTTCCCCGTTCTCAGCCCAGATTTCCCCTGGCCTTACATCCCTTTTATAACAGAGTGCCATGTTCAAGAGAGAATTTATTTACTTGTGTTATTTTTATACAAAGACATTTTAAATACTAAAGCATAATGCAAAATATGTCAAACACTGCCAGAGAAGCCTAAGAAAGTTTTAAGAAAACGTCATTGGCAGAGGTGATTTCAATAAAGGAATTCCTTTTAATTTATACCCTGGGTATGTCATTTTCTGCGTAACTAAGAAAACTGTTTATTAAAATACATTCTCATGGCAGATTGTTTAAATATAAATGTACCAATATTTTAAAGCTGTTCTAAAAATAAGTAGAAATATTCTCAGAGAAGAGCGTAATCACCAGGACTATTTTCCCTAAAGTTCAGCGTGCACTCAGATGTTTGTTGTTTCCATTCAAAAATAGCGATTTATTTACCGGGAACACTGAGGTGACGTTCTCGTAAAGTAAGTTACATACATAATACACGTCCTGTATCCACATCGGTGCATATGCTGGCGGATGGAAATGCACTCTTCACGGTTGGTCACCAGCTGGCCGTGATGTCACCGCCCCCTCCTACTGGGCTCCCCGCACACACGATCTCACCGCCCCCTCCTACTGGGCTCCCCGCACCCACGATCTCACCGCCCCCTCCTACTGGGCTCCCCGCACACACGATCTCACCGCCCCCTCCTACTGGGCTCCCCGCACCCATGATCTCACCGCCCCCTCCTACTGGGCTCCCCGCACACACGATCTCACCGCCCCCTCCTACTGGGCTCCCTGCAAGAGCAGCTGCAGCCTCCTCAGTTCATCTGCCGTGGGGGCCGCCCACGCCCTCTTCAGGAACTGCACATCCACGCTGCCGGAGGCCCTGGCCAGCACGAGGGCCAGGAATCCACCACTGGCCTTCTCTGCTTCACCCACGACCGTCATGGCCACCAGCCTGAAAGCGAGAGGCACATACTGTGTGACTAAGAGTCTCCCAAATCATCTATCCTCCAAGGGAGGGGTAAAAAGGAAGGGAAGTTCTAAAAATTTCAGTCATTGCCAAATAAAAGGACATTTAGACCAGAAATAAATGCATAAAATTCTGTAGAAACCACTTAGAAAACCTATCTGTGTGTTTGCGAGGATCACTGATCAGGGTGAACGCTGCCTGCAGACACCTGTGATCCAGCCCAGGTTAATGTCCTGAGCGCCAGACCTCCCTTCCGACTTGGTGCCCCTGGAGAACGGGCATGCCAGCCGGCTCTCAGGTGCCCAGCGAGAAACCTAGAGCCGGCCCAGCAGCCCTGACCTTGCCTCCTGTCCCTTCACCACCGGCTTCTCTGACGGGGGCCTGTCTCTGACCTCTCCCCTCACAGGCTGCAGTCGTGCATCCCAGGTCTACTCAAGGCCGCCCAGACCCCAGTTCCCATGAGACACCTGGACGCTCTCTCTGCCTGTCTTCCTCTGGCTCATTTCCACTTATCCTTCGACACCTGGCTCAGTGGTGTCACCTCCAGAGCCCTCCCTTGACCAGATGGCCTGACTATGCCTAATTTGGTCAGGGTCCCCAGCATCCTGGGAATGCCTCTGTCACACATTCGTCCCAGTTTTACTCAGCAGGAGGGCCCAGGCCATCCCCACTCACACCTACCCCAATGCTGCCGCCACCCCCCGCCCCTGTCTCCTCATAGTGACCAGGGCCACCAGCACCCACAGGAGCCACGTTCGGTGGGATCCACGACTGGCACACAGTGTGCCCCTCGAGGTGGATGCCAGCGGCCACGGCGGGCACCAGTTGTGGCCCCACAGGGTCTGCCTGCCCACTAATACTCTGTACACTTGTCACACTCCCTGACAGGGACCTGCCTGAGCCTCTGTGAGGTGGGCCGGTCTACGCCCGCCTGCAGGTCGTGCTCTGAAGCTTGCAGCAGGTGAGCAAACTGAAAAACCGCAGCAGTCACTTGGCGCTACTTGGTGCTTCAACAGTGGTGGCCACACTAGTGCAGAATACAGGCGACACTTCACTGGCACGAACTCGGGAAGAGGGGCAGGACGAAGGCAGACGCGCACCGCGGGCGCCGCTGAACCGGGCCTCGCGACAAGCACTCAGATAGGTGCGGGAGCGCCAGTCCCACGGTCACTGCTCATGGAGCCCGCTCCTCGGGTTCGTGAGGTAGACAGAAGCCCAGCAGCGAGCGTGGGAAAGAAAAGGCAAAGTCTGGGCTCAAAGCAGCTGCCACCACCTCGGCGCTGCTCCCCACGCACTGGCGCGGCCTGCCTGCAGACCACGGGCAAGCAGGTGACTATCGTCCCGGGCTTAAAGTAGCCCTGAATGTGAAGTCTCCCTTCTACCTCAGCTCTGTCTTTGAAAAAAATATATATTTATTTGAGAGACAGAAAGAGAGTGAGTGGGGGAGGGGCAGAGAGGGAGGGAGAGAGAGGATGCCAAGCAGGCTCCCCACTGTCGGCACAGAGCCCGATGCGGAGCTCCAACTCACGAACTGTGAGATCACAACGAGGGCCGAAGTCAAGAGTCAGACACTGACCTAACCGGGCCACCCAGGTGCCCCAAAGCTCCTGCCTTTTAACTGTTATTTTCTTCTTGTTCAGTCCTTCTCTACACTGAAGAAACACTGAGCCCTTCCTGTGAAGCCCACTTCTCAAAGTAGACGCTGCTCTGACCAGGGACGGGAGGGCTCTCAGGAAGGAGGCCCCCACCCTCTCCAAAGCCTTTCTCTCGCTCCGCCTAGCGGCTCGCTGCCCTCTCCCGAGACCCCGGCACTCCGCTGGTCCCCGCTGCCCCCACCTCCTCTCTCCTCACCGGCTGTGGGAGCCACGAGTGGACTCCAGTGTGTTTACCACTCCCTTGCCCCATCGGGACACGGGCCCACCAGCAGGTTCACCACGGCCCCTGGCGCCAGCAGTGCTGCTGGGCGCACAGTAGGTGCTCGTAAACACTGCTGTGTTACATGAGTGTGCGTGCATTATGTGTTTATGTGTGAATCACAGTCTGGAGTTTAATGATGTCTTTGTTTAATAATTAGAATAAGGTAAGTATACACAGTACTTGAACTAAGTAAATGCAGTTCTTAATTTTTTCAGATCTTAGTGGTGTATGCTAACGTCAGTCAAACCGTTTCCTAGTCTGATCACTGCTTGCCCCCCCCCCCCCACTCTACAAAGGGACGTGGGATGTGGCCGGGTGGCCCTGCCCTCCCTCGGTCATTAGGAGCCTTCATTTCATAGCAGGAGAGTTTATTGAGGAGAAATATAAAATCTCAAGAAAGAAAACAGGTGTAGAGACAAAGCAGAGTCAAGAGAGAGCCCTTCATAGTGAAAACTGTACACATATTTCAACTTTCAATTAAACGAAACAACAATGAATCATGGCTGGGTTTCACGTTAATCAGAGCAGAGGTGGGGAGAGGGGGCTGGTCTAACTGTGACCTCAGTCCAGGGCATCGACTGACACCGAAGTGAAATTATGTGAGTTGCTGATTCCCACGTGGGATCCCTTCTCCGAAACTAGAAGGGAGACGCTATATCACTTGGACATTTACTGAATTTATAAGACTAAAAAATGAACATAACTAAGGAGCTCACAAAAGCTTCTTTTATTTCTACAATGATAATCATGGGAAAACAGTACAGTGTGAATTCTTTAATCCACAGACTGTTCTGGATGAAGTATGAAATAACACATTTTAAAGTGGTTTTCAAAATACTACTTAAAGATGTAAACATAAAAACTATTTAAACATAAATAGCCACATTTTAAAGCGTAGCAACCTTACGCATAAATTAAGTACAAAGACCCTCAAGGGCGCCTGTGTCAAGAGCCACCTGTGGGGGCAGCGGTGCCATCAGACTTACTTGTCCGGGGAGACGAGCTGTTTGGCCACAGGACCCAGATCGCTTTCCAGGAGGTCCCAAACATAAATGCAGGAAGTGTCATCCTGGGCCAGAAACACGGCAGGTCTGGTCAAGGACCAGCGCAGGCCTGTGACGGCGTGGCCGCCGGTGCCACCGTCCCACTGCAGGAGGGGGCGCTCGCTGGTCAGCTGGTGCAGCCTGATGCTTCCGTCTGAACAGCCGGCCTGGGGACAGGGAAGGGGACTGTCTGTCACAGCTCCTCCTTATTCCCTCAGCCTCAGCAGCGGGGGACACCTCAGTGACACTCTGTCCTCGTCAGCTACAAAGGTGAGCACCCACCCAGGAGATCCTGATACACCTTAAACCCTTCCCCTTCCCCAAATGGCTAATAATGAATTCAGTGAAGATATAAATAGCTGTTTATCTTTAACAAAGGTGACTACTGCTAATTCACCCTCAGGCCATTCAGATTGGCTCCAGAGAACTAAATAACCCACCTTTTTAAAAAAAAAAGTACATAAATTTGAACCGATAATATGGTTATATATTCTCCTTGGATTGAAATTTTTATCAAATAAAACTTGGCTGGTTTAGCAAAAAACCAATTTTAAGCTTAGGAAGAGAAGCTTGATTCCTTTTTATTCAATATCTTTACTCCTTCACCTCCTCCCTCAAGAAGAGCAGGGGCCTGAGTTAGCGCCCACAAAGTGTTCTGTGTATGTCACGGGCCAGAGGAGCCAGGTCCCCCACTGTCAGGGGTGGAGGGAGCCCTGAGTCACCCTGGCATTAAAGATGTGGGACAAGCACGTGTTTATGAGAAGCAGACAGAGATGCTGTGTCCTGTCCAAGGAGCACTTCTTCCTGCCCAGATCCTGGCTTGCAGGTATTTTTCTCCTGACTGGGGCAGGGCCTCTTGGAGAAAAGGCTGATTCTGAGTTTGCGGTACCAGAAGCAAAGGACGGCTCGCAGAATGAGGTCAGAAAACACAAGAACCAGCCCGAGGCAGGTCCCCAGGACGGTCTGAGCAGCAGAATCAATCACGCAGTACAGTGGGGGGTGTGACCCAATGAGGAGAGTGGGCAACCAGGTGTCCACACTCGCGTAATAAAAACACACACGCACGCCTGCACCGGAGACAAGGCAAAGGATAGGAAACCACTGTTTGGCAATCTCCCGAGTCACAGATGCAGGCAAGCCTTGCTGAGGGATCCCAGGGCCAGCGAGGGGGCCGGAGGGGCCGTATGTGGGATGTGGACGTAGTGTCCCCTTATCCCCCCACAGATGCTTGGTAACCAGACAGGGAAAGTGGTGACTCCACCATGAAGGGAGCTGGCAGACACAGGTTAGAGCAAAACTGAATCTAATCGTGAGGAAACATCACACAGACTCGTTCCAAGCCCTTTAAAAATGTCAAGGTCAGGAGAGACTGAGGACCTGTCCCAGAACTGAATGAGACTCCTGACCTGGGTGTTACTTTGCTTATCCAACAGGACATTATGGGGATGGCCGTGGAATGTGGGGCAGCCCTGTCCATCAGAAGACAGGACTGTGCCAGCACTAACTTCCTGATGGTCAGGACCGCATCGCAGCTACATGAGAACGACCCTGTTCTCCTGAAACCCACACCACTCTACTTAGGGATAAAGTACCGTTTGTGCAACTTCCTCTCAGACAGAAGAGCGCGAAACACCCACACACGACTGGGGAGACAGGGTGGAGCCGTGGAGGTAAGCGTGTGATGTTGTGGCAGGGTCTTGTAACTTTCCTCAAGCTCCAATTACATGAAGGGACAGGCGTCTAAGGTCCATTCAACAGCCACGTGGACTGCTCTGCCCTGGCCACACAGAGGGGACCTTCTCCCGCACAGACCGCAGGTACCAGAGTGTGCTGGCAACTCACCCGCTTTTAAACATTCCCAGAGGCCACCGCCAGCATTTTGCTGCCCAAACGGAAGTGGTACTTTAACAACTGACTCTCTTACCAAGAATATTGGTTCTCCAAATGGTGAAAAATCGATCGCATTTACTCTGACTGGTCTCATGCCACGTTGCTGGGGTTTGTACAGTCTGGGAGATACTCTCAAATCCTGTCTGGTGCCATGACTTATAAGACCCTGGCGATAAGAAGACCAATGGTGACTAAAATGGATTAGGTATGAGGCTGGATAAAGCAGTTATTCTTGAAACAAGTGAAACAGCATCACAATAAATGCAAACAGTAAGTTAATCTTTAATGAAGGTATTTGGCAAGCAGCCAGGAAAGGAGAATGAGTTACAGAATAAGATTTTAAACTAGTACTTACCACGTCTGTGCCAACAATGAAGTGACCAGGATCTGAAGGCAGAAACTTCACATTGAGGGTTTGCGTGGCCCCCCAGAATTCACAGTCTTTACGGGAAAGGCTGGGAAGAAACAGAAGGATGAACAGATGAACTGATTCGTCAGGGATGACACCACATAACACATTTACTCCGCGCCGTGTGCCAGCAGACAGAATAGGTGACCCCACATTTCCTCTGCTGCTCTTTCTCCATTTCCTTCCATGTTCCCTATGAGCTAGACAATTGCTCCAGCTCTTGTCTCTCATTCACTAATTCTTTCTTCAGCTAAGTCTCATCTAGTTAACCATTCACTGACTCTTAAATTTCAGAGATAACAGTTTCTTTCTAGAAATGTCTCTTAGATGCCACCATCATCTCAAGGTCTTGTTTTGCTAAACCTATTTGTTGTACCACAGTAGGTGTTTCCTCATGTTTGCAGTTTTTGTAATTTTTCTCTCTGAACTGCATCCTCTAAGAGCCCCGGGAGCCCAGCTTATGGAAGCATCTCCCCTCCCCTCCCATAGAAGTGCTGACGATACTGACTCCATCTTGTACACGCCCCCTCTTGGGGCTACACATTCTGGGCCCCTTGGAGATGAGTATATACACGTTAGAAGTGTATATACTCCCCAGTCGGCCAGGACTGGGGAGGCTTGCTTTGGCTATATCTGCAAATTTGTTAAAGATAACATTGGGTCTCCCTTCCCGGAGCACAGATGGTGCCAGTAGATTGAATTATAGGTTAGCTTGCAGTCAGGTGCGTACAAACTCTCTGAGGTGCGTGTGAACCCTCTGACCTCACCATGATGCCTTTCCACACCTCCCCTCACTCTACATAAGCTGTGGACTACGGTCTGAACCTTGCAGAGAATAGCTGTGCAGCTCCGGATTGTCACCGGCTCAATCCTCCCTGTCAGTTTAGTTACCCTGGATAAAATGCTGTCTGAACTCAGTGAAGTCGCCTTTGTTTCCGAGTCTCAAAGCGCCTTCTCAGTGGTGGGACAGTGCTTCCTCCACCTCCAACACCGCCCACCGGGCAGCTGTCCCAGAGCCTTGATGCTAAGCCACTGGTCTGAGACTCTGACCCTGCCTTCTCGGTTGACCCCAGACCAGACCTAGAGCTTGGGGTTCTGGGACTTGCATGCTCCCTGATCTCGGCGGGGCTGGGGAGGGGCCTCTGGGGTTTCTCTCTCACTGAAGGGGCGGTGAGTTCAAGTCCTGCACTGGGCTCAATTACAGCTGCCAGCCTCAGGCAAGCCCGATGCATCACTGCTCGGCACAGGCTTGAGCCCCGCAGAGCCAGGAGGCCTGCGCCAGCCTCACCTGATACTCCAGCCTCCACACCACACAAAATCTTGCACACTAACTTCAAGCTCCATTCCTGTCCTGGCACCGTCCTCTTCTTCTCTGGAAAAACTCCCTGTAGTTTATTGTTAGTTTTAACTTGATTCAGCATCTGTATCTGTAACAGGAAGGGACTCATGGCCACTCTTTCCACCACATCCACTTCTGACTCAGGACTCTGGCCCTATTCCACGTTCAAGACTGCAAATGTCACCTGTCAGCCAAAGACTCCTCAGTCTGTGCCTCTAACCAAGGTCCCTGCTGCGCGCTGGCCACCTCCTGGTCATCTCCACAATCACCACGAGCCCAGCCCACCCAAGGCTGGTGGCCAGATCCTGCCCAACTCCTTCATCTTGTGTGCAGTACTGGCAGCTGACACAGACCCCTGGTGAGCGGCAGTTCCCTGAACCTGTCAGTCACCAGGTTTCTTCAGCTCTGCCCCTTTAACAGAAGTCAGTCCTTCCATACGCAAGATGGCCACCTTGCTTCAGACCCTTATCTTCCTTATCAGTCCTGTAACAGCCTCTCGGTCTCCCCAACTCCAGCCTCCCTTCCTCTGTCCAATCTCACACTGCTGCCAAGCCGATCATTCCTAATCACAAATAAGACATGCTACTTACTCACTGCCTTAAAACCCTGTACTGGCTCCCAACCTCCTGCAAGGGAACAGTCTGGACCCTGCAGCATAGCAAACACGAGGCCCGGCCAGGGACTCGTCCCCATCTCCTCCAACAGCAACCTACTGGCAGTTCCCTAAATGTGTCCAGTGCTTGTGCCTCTGGGCCTCCCACACACCGCTCCCTCTGATCGAGCACGCTCGTGGTCGACCTCCCATCTCAGTGGACCCCTCTCGAACCCCTGGGGAGGTTCAGGAAGGGCCCCAGGGCCCGAGACAAGCCCAGAACCAAGCAAGAACCTGGGGGTGGTTCTACCACGTACTAGGGGACTTTTTAAACATAAGTGACTCCCTGTAATAATTATATTCATACAAATTTATTAATACAACCCAGAGGCGCTCTGGCTGATGGTGAAGAATCAGGCCAAAAAAAATTTTTTTTCAAGGGTAAATTATATGCTATCAGCTGCAGTAAATGACAACAAAAAAAGGTGTTTGGGAAACAAATCAACATGGTATAGAAATACCACAAACAATACTTATACATTTAGTAAGAATTTTTATGTCATGTTAAGTTACAGGAGTAAAAACAGAAATCAAAATTTCTGAAAACAACTTTCATATTGGTGTTTCTAGTTCCTGAAATGTACCTATTTAACCTCAGAGTTGTATTAAAACTGGATGAAAAGCAGTCAAATAGTACTGGCTTAGAAGATAGAAATTATTCTTTTTAAAGTTTATTTATTTTGAGAGAGAGAGTGCGGAGGAAAGGCAGAGAGAGGGGGAGAGAAAGAGAATCCCAAGCAGGCTCTGCACTGTTAGTGCAGAGTCGGACTCAGGGCTTGATGTCATGAACTGTGAGATCATGACCTGGGCCGAAATCAAGACTCGAATGCTTAACCACTGAGCCACTCAGGCCCCCCTAAGATAGAAATTATTTTAATCAAAGAAGAAAATGTTAGCTCTATACCTAGCAACTGTATTTATTACACTGACTCATTAATATTAAACTAATTGGCAAATAAACTATTTAGCAAATATACAATGTGAAAACTTGGATTTTTCAATGCAAACTTGACGCATTTACTGTCTAACCCCTAATGCTATTTCCTTCTGTGGGAGAGGTTTTAGGGGGATGAAGCGGATGGTGTAGGTCCAGGCGGCGCATCTTACCTGTCACTCAGCTGAATAGTGGCACTGTGCACCAATTTTATCCTCCCTCCAGGTATTAAACCTAAAAATAGGTAAACCATAAATAAATGTACCTCTTAATAAACCAAAATCCAATACAGTTGCTTTGAATCATTTTTCATTGCTCAAGTATCTGGGTTAGGAAGTAACATCAAATCAGGGGCCATGAAGAGTGCTCCCTCCCTGACGTGGCTGAGGCTCCTATAAATTGCCTTATGAGAAAAGGGCTGGTGGAACCAGTCAAGCTTCCCAGTTTTAGATTCAAGAGAATAAAATAATGGCAGGACACTAAGCAAAACAAAAGCAAAATCAAAAACCCCTGAAGTTAGTTCCCAACAGCAGTGCTTTGCTGTCGGGGTCCAGGGGTGGTCTCATGCTCGTCAGGGAAGCCCCCGCACAAATGCAGAGGCACATCCGCAGGCCACCTCTCTGCTGTGGGGCGCACAGGGGCACCCGCCGCTCAATGTCTGCACCCCCTTCCCTGCACCACTGGAGCTTGTCCTTCCCTGGACCCCCAAAGCACTTATGGCCACAACTCTGACCCGTCAGCCATTCATTGGCTTTGCCTCCTTCATCCGTTTCCAATATCCTCCCCATTTTTTGTAATTATTGCAAAGGAGGTAACTAAAACCTCATGTATTTAAAAAACAAAACAAAACAAAACACCTCATGTATATTGAGACCCAAATTCTGGGCAAGGTACTTCCTAGAACGTAGGGAGTATATAAATCCTAACTATACAGACAAATTCAACTTGCAATAGAAAGGGAGACTGTAATTACGTACGATGGCCTCTGCCACAGTTCCAACTCTGATACGAGAATGTTCAACGCTGCTGTCACAGATTTGAAAACGCCCTCCCTGTTCTCCAGCACGCTGTCTTCCTACAGGAACTCCAGGGCTGAGAGTCTCAGCCCAAATGTGACCTCCCCTGGGGAGTCCTCCCTGACCTGGCTGCTTGGCCTGTTAAGCACTTCTGATCTGGCAGTCACATCACATGCGGTTTGCACACCAGCCTCCCCATAAGAGTACACTCCCTGGGGCACCCAAGACAGCACCCAGCCTGTTAAGAGAACCTTTCATCAATGGATGAGGTAAATGCTTAGTCCTAACCATGATTTGAGTTCTCCAACCGGCCACTACTGTCACACACACATATGACAGCTTGGAACCACCCCAAACACTCCTATGGACATTTAATGGCCAGAGCCTTTCCAGCACGGAGTCCTGGCATAATGTCATCCCCTCTTTTCCTAAAAGCAAAGTTGAAACAGGGTCAGGGTTTGGTAAGCGGTCCTGTACACAGAAGGTGTCTTTACATAGCAGCACATAACAATGAAATACACACTGCCCTACGGTAACTTTGGTGTGCCTTCCATTTTCCTGCAAAGCATCTTTATTCAAGATTTGGCCTCCACAGGCAGATTATGAACTATGGGCAGAGACTCTGTAACTCCTTACTACCATCCAAAGTTCCTAAAAGATACCTTGGTCATGGCATGAGTGCACAACATAGATAGCCTCAAGATGGGCTCCACAGGCTGCAGCATTCTCGGGTCAGGGCAGAAGCCTGGGTGAGCCCAACCGGGAGTCCAGCCCCAACATCAATCCGAGCTGCGGAAGGGCTTGGCCACCTCCCAGATGCTGTCCTGCTCCAACGTTCCAAGACTGTGACCCACCCAAAAGTCTCATACGGGCTCAGTATAATAGTTTCATGATAAGCAGAGAGGATGCTATAAGAAAACCTTGAGAACGTTTACCCTGCCTCAAAATGTTTACTAGTGAAATCAGTGAAATGATTCAGCCTCGTTTTTATGGAAGTTAGAACCCACAGTAACTTCCAAGTACTGCCTGTGACATTCACCATGAGACCTGCACACAGGGCGTGGGAAGAGATGAGGGTCGGACCCCTGCCGCAGACAGGGCGAAGGGGCCGGCCACTGGGAAGTAGGTGGTTGGAGCTAATGATGTTAGGAGAGGGTCCGGGAGCACGAGACTCAACCGTCTCCTGGTTCCCAAGGTTTGCTGGGAACCAAACGCCATGGTATCGAAAAGAACAAACTGCTGTAGGTACCCTGCTTCTGAGACAGAGCAGGGACCAGGGTCCTCAGTTTTCCAGCCCTGCTTATAGGTGCTGCTTGCCGCCAGAAACTATGCCCGATGCCAGAAGCCACAAGCTCCAAACAAGCCCCTGACCCAGTTTTTGACTGGTTTGCTCCAGTTCAGACTCCGTGCTAACCCTCCAGCACCTAAAAGGGAAGTTCAACTGTGAGAACCAGACCAAACCAGTCTGAGCCAAGATGGACCCCAGCACTGACCTTTCACCAACTTTCGCCCTCATTTTAATACTAAGTCCACACCCAGGGGTGGGGCTTAACATGCTAATTAGACCTGCGGTGTATGAAGAAGGACGAAGCATGACTTGTAAGTGCAAGAGCGTGGATAAACAATCCCAGCCTGCGTGTTCAGACGGCACCCTTTTCTGGCCAAGGTTTCTTTAAGGCTCTTGTCAGCCCCTCCCGGGGAGCCAGCTGGAAGACCCTGCGTTCAGGCACCTCCCTTTTTGGAGCACAAGCCCCGGTACAGCCTTGCCTGGGATTCCCGGGGGCCTCTTGTCCGCTTCTACTGCGAAGCGCGCCCGAGGCTGGCTCAGTAAATGCTTGGGCTCCTCCCGCACTAGACGGGCCTCCACCCCACACCCGAGCTGGGTTCTGAGAGCTCCAGGGAGTCTACCGAGGGCACTGACATGTCAAAACCAAAGGGAAGACAGCCCAAATGTGCATTCAAGGATTGAGACTCCTGAGTGAATGGAAGGGCACAGAGAACTCACAGCTCACAGAGCAGAAGGACACAGGCAGAAAGCGATGGGAGAACACCGTCAGCTGCAAGCAGTATGCTTAATCTCACGGGGTGCCAATCCGATGGCTGACAGGGTCATGCGATACAGAATGCTGACGTTCCTTTTTCAGGTAGCTCATTACTTATTTTTCAAAGTGGCTGTCAGTACCTTTAATCTCTATTCATTCTAGAAAACACTGACTAAAATTAATTTTTGTATTTAATAGTTACCTAAGTCACTTACTGAGCCTGCGACATCTGCCTTCGGTAACTCAACCACCACCTGCAAACAGAGTGTGGAAATGAGTGTCAGTGCGTCAGGATGCGCTCGGGTGCCACCTAGCACGGGGCAGCTCTCCTCAGGACAGCGTGTGGTGTTCGGCGTAAACACCCAACGGCTCGCTGCCTCAGAACTGGTATTTAAATGTTAGTAATTCCTTTCTTTGACCTGCTGTCACTTCTCCTCAGTCAGACTGGCCAGCGGCCAGGGCTCTGGGGCGCCCTCCGGGGCCCCCAAGACCACACCCCAGCCGCTTGTCATGCTCCCCCGCGAACCTGTTGGAGGTGCCCCGCCAAGCTAGCCAGGCCCTCGACTTTCCCACCCTACCTAGGCCTATCGCCCACCGGCCACCAGGCACTCAGCACCCCCAGGCCCCCCCAGACACAGCGGCTCAGAGAGCCCGTGCACGCGGCCGGTGCTGCCCTGTGTGCTTGTCTGGGCGTGTCCTACTCACCCACACGTTGAGAACCCCACTCTCATCCAGGGAAGCAATGTGGAATGACAAACCCGACATTTCTAGTGGAAACAAACAGAAGAAATGGCTTGTGAACAAGGAAACCACATTTCATAACTTGACTTAAGGATTTTGTGGAAGTGAAAGATCACACACCTTCTTGAGTAGAAAAGGGGGAAAGCACAAAACTCTGTTTTTTGTAGACAGATGTGGAGATGGGCTCTACGGCTTGAACAGGGCTGCGGTGGTTTACTGAGGTCAGGAGGCCGTCTAAGGTTTAAAGCACACGGGACCACATGTGGGTAGTAAGTCACAAAAATAAAACAGATGTTATGTGGGGTTAAATCTGCCCCAAATACCACAAAACCACACATAAGATGATGTGTGGTCACTGCTTTCAGCACTACCATGAAACAGACCACAGGCCTCAAAACACCCATAAGGAGAGAGAGACATGTGGATTCCAACCAGACACTGGGTTTCTGCGAGTCTATGGGTGTGGAGGGCAGGCGTGAGGTTAAGAGGCTAAGAGGGAGTCAAAGGCACACAGAAATCAGAGAAAGCGGCCGCAGGGAGAAAATCTAACTTCTGGGGCAGGGCCTGGTGGGCCACTCCCCAGGGCAGGGCTGGGCAGGGCTGGAAGGTGAAGCCAAATGGGAGGGACCAACCACAGTGGCGCAGGGGGCAGGACACCCTCCCCCAACCCAGAGCCCACCACCCAGTAAAGAAATGACACTTCACAACTAACAGAATAAAGCCCTTTCGACCTAGAATATCCATCTATAGAATGTCCAAGAGTAGGGATCAAAAATCAAGACAAATTCCACTGAGAACTTCTGTAAGAAGAAAATACAAAGTGCAAATCAAAGCAATTGAGGAGATGAAAATTCTCCCGCCCACAAATGAGCACTTAACAGAAGCCCCGAAGTCACCATGTCGCTCCCAAAAACATTTGGAAGCATACTTAAAGTAAGCAAGCAAATGAACAAAAACACCTGAAATCAGAAACCCAGTACAGAAATGGATAGAAAATAGTAAGAAACCGGGGCACCTGGGTGGCTCAGTCAGTTGAGTGTCCGACTTTACGTCGGGTCATGATCTCACAGTTCTTGAGTTCAAGCCTCGCGTCAGGCTCTGTGCTGACAGCTCAGAGCCTGCAGCCCTCTTCGAGTTCTGTGTCTCCCTCTCTCTCCGCCTCTGTCTCTCTCGCTCTCTCAAAAGTAAACATTAAAAAAAAAGAAAAGAAAATAGCAAGAAATAAGATGGGAGCTGGGGCTGAACCCTGGAAAAAAACTGGTGAAGAATAGACAAGGCTCCAGTTCACAGAGCCTGAGGAAAGGGGCAGCCTATGCACTGCGAGGACCACATGCTGGGGGGACCCTGTACTGGGGGCCACACTGGGAGGGGCCTGCTCACTGGACAGGATGCCTACTGGGGCTTAGGGGGGAGCACACTGGCAGGGTCACATACCGGGGGCTGTACAGTAGGGGCTGCTGGAGGGGATGCTCACTGGGGTGCAACACTGGAGGGAGGGGCCGTGCTGAGGGGGTGGGGGCGTGCACAGCCTGGGTCAGAAGCTCCGTGGTTCTCCCAGCACTGGGAGCTTAGTGAAACTTGCCTGGTTACAGTGATAATATTTAGTTGGCAAAAGAAAATGAAGGAAGTGTTTTAATGGAGTAACATCTCTGCATATAGTTTAAACACTTACAGTTTTAATGACTTGAGCCAATTTGGTAGTGAATTCAAGTGTTAATTAGTAACATCAAGAGCAATTAGAAAAAATGCGCATTTTTTAATGTTTATTTAGTTTTGAGACAGAGACAGAGCATGAGCTGGGGAGGGGCAGAAAGGGAGACAGAGAATCTGAAGCAGGCCCAGGCTCTGAGCTGTCAGCACAGAGCCCAATGTGGGGCTCGAACCCACAAATAGTGAGATCATGACCTGAGCCAAAGTTGGACGCTTAACCGACTGAGACACCCAAGCGCCCTGAAAAAGTGCACATTTTTAAAAGCTAACTTCTGTAACAGCATCAAACCCATAAGGCACCTATAACTAAAACATTCTCATCAGCAGCAACATTGCCCCCAAAGAGGCAAAAATTGGTTGTCGGGGGACCAAGCAAAATTTTGTATGCATTGTGAAAATGAATAAAGGGACTGGGGAGGCCAGCAGGGGGGGCCACCACTCAGTGTCAGTCACGGGAACAACTGTCTGTTACAGACCCAGCATTAGAACCCTCCACAGAGAGAACCCCAGGTACAGGCCACACCAGGGGAAGGTGTGCGCTGCGGCCCCTACAGGAAATCCACTGCTCCTGCAGCTCAGTCAGTGAGACCCCTCATCACCCTGAACCCCTGCTTTCCTCCAACAGACTTCCCTTCAAAACAACATTCCCAACTTCCTTCTTCTCCAAAAACAACATCCCTCTTCTCTGTTGCACTTGCCCATGGTTCTGCCATAGCTTACGTGTCCTAGGCTGCAACTCTCTGCCTTTCCTGAACAAACTCATCTTTTACTGGTAAAATAACCAGCAGTTTTAAGGCAAACAGTATAAAATACAGCAATTTGTATAGTACGTAAACAGATATGCAGCGTGTGTCGTATTAAACTCTCACGGAGGGAGACTGGGCACAGAAAAGGCCACTTGGTTAAGAAATGAGAAGACAAGACACAGCCTGGGAAAAATACCAGCAAATACATCTCTGAGAGAGGACTGTTATCCAAAAAAAAAACACTCTTAAAACTCAACAATAAGAAAGCAACAAATCACTGTTAAAAATGTACAAAAGACCCAAAAGGACTCTTCCCCGAAGACGACACACAGTAGCAAAAAAGCCTATGAAGAGATTCTGCTCGTCACATGTCATCAGGAAACGTACATTAAAACCACGGCGAGACACCACTACACACCCCTCCGAACGGCTGAAAAGCAGGCAGTACCGTGGGCACCTGGAGCTCACACTTTGCTGGGACTGCAAAACGGTCCACGCAGTGCAGTACAGGCCCCTTGATGCAGGCTCCATCCCAGTCGCCAACAACTGGAATTAAGCAAACGCTCATCACCTGTGGGCGGGTCAACAGCGCGTAAGCACAGTGAGGCGTGAATGGCCGGTGCCCACAGCAGCACCATGACCCGTACATGCAGAACGCTAAGTGAAAGAAGCCAGACTCAAGGATCTACATTCCACACGATTCCATTTATCTGACATCTGGAAAAAGTAGAACTGTGGAGACAGAAAACTGATTAGTGCCTGGTGGGAAAGGGGAGATGGGAAACCAAGTGCAGGTGCAAGACAGGGGCTCCCGGGCAGGAACAGAGAGGAAGACAATGGGGTCTGAGTGCAGACCCTGCCACGAAGTTAGTGTGACCGGGGACATGCTTCTGCTCTCCCTGAGCAGTGGGGAAGTAGGCCAAGATAAGCATTAAACAACCAACGTCCAAAATAATACTGGGGCTACTGAAGAGGTCTCAGAACACAGAGTGCCTACCAAGGGGTGGTGGTTCTGGTGGCTGGGTGTGGTGGTGGTTCTGGTTGGTTGTGGTGGTTGGTTGTGGCAGGTGTGGTGGGTGGTTGTGGTGGGTGGTTGTGGTAGTTTGTTGTGGTAGTGGTTGTGTAGGAGGTTGTGGTGGGTGGTTGTGGTAGTTGGTTGTGGTGATGGTTGGCTATTATGGTGAGTGGTTGTGGTAGGTCACTGTGGTAGCTGGTTATGGTGGCTGGCTATGGTGGTTGGTAGAGTGGGTGGCTGTGGTAGTTGGTTGTAGTGGCTGGCTGTTATGGTTGATTATGGTGGTGGTTGGCTGTGGTGGTTGGGGTGGTGGTTGGCTGTGGTGGGTGGTTGTTAGGGTGAGTGGTTGTGGTAGTTGGTTGTGGTGGTTGGGTGTTGTGCTTGGCTGTGGTGGTTAACTGTTGTGCTTGGCTGTGGTGGTTGGCTGGGGTGGTGATTGGCTGGGGTGGTTGGCTGTGGTGGTGGTTGGCTGTGTTACTGGCTGTGGTGGTTGGCTGTGGTGTTGGCTATGGTGTTGTCTGTGGTGATGGTTGGCTGTGGTGTTGGCTGTGGTGGTTGGTTATGGTGTTGGCTGTGGTAGTGGTTGGCTGTGGTGGTGGGGTGGTAGGCTATGGTGTTGGCTGTGGTGGCTGGCTGTGGCTTCAAAGGCATGGCAGGAAAGATTCATGTTAATCTAAAGATCTTGGCAGATGCAAATGTTCAGGGTTCTTTAATCCCCCACGAAGTGAATAATCTGCATGTACTTCAAGCATTAGTGGGGTTAACTAAGCCACGGAACACATACCAATCAATATGCCTTAAACTCATTTAAAGCTAAAAGTTATTTCATTGAGGACTAGAATCCAGAAATTAACAAGAAAAAACATTCCAAGCAACATGGATGGACCTTGAGGGTGTTATGCTGAGCGAGATAAGTCAGGCAGAGAAGGGCAGATACCATATGTTTGCACGTATAGGAGAATTAGGAGGAACTTAACGGAGGACCATGGGGGAGAAGAAGGGGGGAAATGGTGGGGGAGAGGGAGGGAGGCAAACCATGAGAGACTCTTGAATGCTGAGAACAAACTGAGGACTGATGGATGTGGGGGGGGAGGGGAGTGATGGGCACGGAGGAGGGCACTTGTGGGGATGAGCACCGGGTGTTATATGGAAACCAACTTGACAATAAACTACTTGTAAAAAAATAAATAAAAAGAAAAAAGAAAAAGAAAAAGAAAAAACATTCCAATCATTGTTGGCCACCAGTGAAGCATGGCTTGGGTGGATTTTTGTTTTTACTATTTATCAAATGCTTCTTTTGCTCGTAGGTCAGACCCCACCCTCTGGGGCAACCTGGATGAATAAATGCAAAGAAACTACAGATGTTCCTCAAATCTGTCATGGCTTTTCTAGAAGACACCTGACAGGCAGGTGGGTGTCACTGACCAGTAGAAAACGTTGCTGTCCTGAATGTCCAGAAGCAGTCACCCAGCTTCACATAGTGATGTATCCTGGAGTCTTCTCGCAGGTCCCACACGAGGACTGAGCCGTGCACTGTTCCAGCAAACAGTAAAAAGGCTTTAAAAGGGCTAAAGCAGCAACACGTGACCTGGAACGACACACACACAGAAAGCCATGTCTGAAACCACGAGGCCACGGCCACAGAAGCACCAGGCCTCTCCACTGCCCACGCTGCACCGGGGAACCCTCCGCCGGGAGGCTGCGGCTCGCGGGAACAGGCGTGAGTCCTCAGCGTCCCGCGGCTTCGCGGGAACAGCGCCAGGAGGGAAGCAGGGAGGACGAGCCACCCCTGCAGGGCTGGCGGCCACAGACACAGGGCCTCGCACACCGCTGGGCACCGCAACCCTCTGCATTCAACCCCAGTAGCGGGCCCAGAATGGCAAAGTTATCTTTTGTCATTCTGTTTATAACCTATATTGTAAAACCTGCCTTTGCAGCCCCAGAGCCTGTCACCTGTGAATCAGTCTTCTCCACAGCCCTGGGGAGAATCAAGGACCCTGAGGTCAAGGAGCAGACGAAAATACAAAAGGGCGGGCCTCCCACTGTACCGGCGTGGAGCTCAGCCACAGCCTGCTGATGAGGGGCTGGGAGAGGGAGGAGACCGAGGACTCTGGAAACTTTACACCCATCAAGAAACCCCTAAAATACCCATGACTCAAACAGCGCAAGTTAAAACAGGACACTTCTGGGGTCCCAGAGCCAGGCTGACGGTGGCCGGCATCTTCATCCCCAGGGGACTGCAAGGCTGTGATAACCCCATCTCTCCAGTCTGGGTTGGTCCTTTAAACTAAGAGTTTCTAGAGTCAAAGCAGAACCATGCGTGGGTCCCGTTGCAGCTGCACATACCTGAGGACAGCCAGGGAGAGAGACATGACCTTCAAAGTCCCTGCGGTCCTGCGTTTCCGTCCCCAACTCCGTGCCCTCCTGCTGCCCACCCTTCCTCTCGTTGACCTACGACTGACTGTCCCAGAGCCGTACCTTCGACTCACATATGAGGACCTTCTGCGGCCCCGAAGGCTGCCAGATATCCCACACGCACAGCACGTGCCTGCCGTCCAGTGCGGGGGCGAATGCTGCTCCCGGCGGCCCGTGGACGGACACCACCATCTGCCTCTGCACCTGAGAGGCACATAAGCAGGACACTTTTCGATCTGGGGGAAAATGAGAAAAGTATTTCTGAATTTTAGTGTCTGCCAGAATCTGTGTTCAATTAACACACTGAAAATATTCAAATGGGGCACCTGGGGGGCTCAGTCACTTCAGCGTCCGACTCTCGATATTGGCTCAGGTCATAAAGCCGCAGCCATGAGATGGAGCCCCACACCCAGCTCTGCACTGAGCGTGGAGCCTGCCTGGGACTCTCTCACTCCCTCCCTCTCTGCCCCTCCCCTGGCTCTGCATGTTCTCTCTCTCAAAACAAACATTTTTTAAAAAAAAATTCAAATACATTCCCCCTTAATGAAGAAACAAACTTAAATCCTTTCAAAGCTGCCTGTGCCTGAAATCTGGGTTTTGACAAGTGGTCACAGCTCGTCCTGAAAAAGGCTCACGCGGGCCTCATGGTTTTACTAACGTTCAGCGTAGGCCACGCCTTGTCTACTAGCTACTCCCAGAGAACCACCTAGACCTAGAGTCCGGTCACCTCAGCGGGTCCCCTTCAGTCCTTGCTGTGACTCTCGGTGCGTGTGGTCTTCACACAGCGCGGCCGTCTCCCTCAGGAGTGGTGGGCGCGGCCGGGACACTCCCTCTCCTCCCCGGCGTGTTCTCCGTCCCCCTCTGGCAAAAGCACATTCACTTTCTCTCCAACTTTTGTCTGCGTGACCCACCAGGAAGGCAGGACTTCTGTCCACTTGGGCAACAGAAAGTAAGCGCAGGCCAGGGTTGGCCGCGTCCTTCTGTGGCACGTGCGTGAACAGTAAGGACCCTCAAGGAGCACAGACAGGGGCGTAATGTGACCAAGTCCCGGGTTCACAGGTGAGACCACGCCTCACTCTGTCAGCCACCTATCATCTAGCCCTTGTCCTTCTGCTCTCTCAAAACTCATGTCACTGGAACACAAAACGAGCAAGAGAACCTCCACGCTGTTCACACGGCCAACTCGCGCCCACACACCAGCAGGCCTGCCTGTGAGAACAAGTGTGCCCGTCGTGTGTCTCACACAGGGTTCTAGATGCATCTGTATCACCCAAGCTCCCGCCGGTTTTGTAAAGCTGCTGTCACTCATCAGCTCCCAGAGAAAGTACATCTTGAACTCCCATTTTCCGGGGGGAGGTAGGGTATGGGTGTGGGAATGTGCGTGTTGTGAACACTGTAGATACAGTGATTCACTATTTTTCCAACTCTTACCTTTTAAAAACAAAAAACCCTCAAAGAACATAAGGGTTTTTTTTAAACTAACAATTCCATTTTTGTTAACATGAAACGCAAAGGAAAAAATGGGAATCGAAATCTCTCAACAGCAAGCAGGACAGAAGACACACCTGGTGGCCAGCTTCCCACAGGCCTGGGAGGAGCCAGTGAGGCTGGCCGCTGGGCTCCCCGAGCAAAACATGGAGTTTTATTTGCTGTCAGTTAAAACTCTGAATACATTTTTATTCTTTATATAAGGTACACCATTTCTGTGTAAATACAGCACAATGAACAAATTCTTTAATAAGCGGAACAAATATCCTTCCTCTCCTTCCTCACACACACCAGGACCGGGGTGAGGACCACCTCACCAGCCGGGACCAAAGAGAAGTGGTGACTGGCTCAAGAAACAGAAACGTGGCCATGCAAACGCAGCTTGTTCAAGCCACCGAGGCGGTCACACGTGTGTGGTGGCACAGGCGTCGTCTGCCCAGCACGTGGGGCCCTGGGCCAGCTGCAGTCTGAGGACAAGGACCTGTGGAAGCATAGGGGGCGGCTCACACCGCTCTCACTGAACACCCCGTGTGCGGCTCCCCAGGGCCCCACTCCAAGAAACCAAGAGAAGCCCAGCAACGGGACTGAAGAGGAAACACGATTTAAAACACACACACAGAGGGGCGCCTGGGAGGCTCAGTGGGTTAAGCGTCCGACTTCGGCTCAGGTCATGATCTCGCGGTTCATGGGTTCAAGCCCCGTGTTGGGCTCTGTGCTGACAGCTCGAGCCTGGAGCTGCTTCAGAGTCTGTGTCTCCCTCTCTCTCTGCCCCTCCCCTGCTCATGCTGTCTGTCTGTCTCTCTCTCTCTCTCAGAAATAAATAAAAGATTAAAAAAGCTTTTTAAAAAAACACACAGAACTTCAGTTTCCACTTATTTAAATTACGGCCCGCTCCCCTGTTATAACCTTGGGCAAGTGTCCACGTGACGCTAATGCACGGTTAGACGAAAGCAACCTTGCACTTCAGAGTTTGCAGATGCTGAATCTAATCTCGCTGTTCTGTGCTCAGTAATCCCCATGACACTAGCACAGGATGCCACGGTAAAGATCATTATTCCAACAGTACCGCACGGTCCTAGATGAAAAGCGCATGGAGGGCAGCCCCTTACCCTGGAGGAACGGCAGGCTGGTGTTCAGCTGGGAGGCATTGTCACTGATACACAGGGTGCTGTCCTGTGCTGCAGGGTCCCAGCTGGGCTCGACTGCCACACGGTCCTCTTCAAGCAAAACCGCAATCACCTTTCAAAGACAGTGAACAGTCTCTCGTGACATTTCCAACATATTCATTTCACAGGAAAAAACAAAACACACAAATCATCACCTATGCATCCATCTCGGAAAACAACTGCTTAACTCCAAGACGTCATAGAAACGCACAGGATGAAAGTTGAAACTATGTTGCCCTTTCTGCACAGTAACAGAAACTGGCAAAGTTCCATTAATGTAGACTCCACAGGAGACCCATTATTTAATGTTAGATGTCATTTTTTATAGTAAACACTATGCTAAAAATAACAGGAGGGAAACGGCTGACCACTCCAGTTTCCTTGTCTAAGAAAGAGGTATGAAGAACGTCGTACACACAGCACACCGTCCTCACGGGGCCGTGGTGAGGACACTCTGCGCAGGAAGTCACTGGAACGGCTCCAACGGGTCATGTGGAGGGTGATGGCGGGTAAGGGGAGACACGACAGAGTCAGGAGAACTGGTGGGACCGCGTGGGAGGATGAGCTGCAGAAGAGGGAGGAGAGCTGGGAGGGCCAGACCGGCCTTGACCCCCGACCAGGCCTGCTCTGTCCTCACTCACCCCTACCCAGCTCAACCCCCTTCTCCTCACCCTGCACGCAATGGCTCTCTTCTCGTAGCTCCCCATGAACTCACCCTAAAATTTAAAATTACAGGGAAGTACGATCGGTCTCATAAAGCAAAGACGCTGCTAACACAGCCCGGGCAGGAAGTGACTGCCATCTGCGCACATGAAGGATGGGCACAGGCTCACCCACACCCACACCCACAGCTGACACAGACACAGGAGACAACTGAGGAAATACGAGCGACTTCCTTCCTGATGCTTCTGAGGAGTACTGCTACTGCTGATAGTTTTGGGTGCCGCGCCCTGAAGCGAGTCCCCGTGTGGGGACTGTGGTCTGTGCAGAAAGAGCTGCGGCCACCCCCAAGGAGGAGGGGCTCACATGAGACCACCAGCCATGAGGTGGTAACTACCGACGGACGTGGGCTTCAACAGACCCTTCCATTCATCTTTATATAGTTAACAAGTTAGGGATTTAATTTTATTTCAAATATCTCAGTGAAGGTCGTGGCAACTTAATGTTATTATCTTGACAAATTAACATTATCATCTGTTTTTCAGTCTATGTTTATTTTAAAATGTAAGCAGCTGACATGCACGTGAGGGGACCCGTCGGGGCTGGGGTGCAACGGGCACAGGGCAGCGCGTACCTGGCAAGCGGCCCGGAGGAAGCGGGACAGCCTGGGCGCGTCCACCTTCGGGGCGGCAGTGTCACAGAGGTCTTCACTCCCGCTCCCTAAAGAGACCAGGCTGCGCTGAACCAACAAACACACCTTAGGATTCAAAGATTGTTACAAAGGGATGCTAAGAGCCCTGGAGGGAAAAGTCGAAGAATTTTACGATGTATTCTCTAGATCTACCGTGATTTTTTCAAACACAACTGCATCTTGTTTTATGGAAAGTCTGTATACAGAATCCTACTTAAATGCAGTAAGGAGACCGGTTAAAGGCATCAAGGTAATCATTCTGTAAGTCTCACGTTCAAGTGTCGTCTTTCCTTACGGCCTGGCTTACCCGAGGAAAGGGAGCGACTGGGCCCCTGGCCACAGGGTTACGTCCTGGGAGAGCAGCCGTTACCAAGCAGGACAGCGGTTCTTCGGGCCTTCCCTCCGCACTATGTGACAGGCCTGCAGACTGCGCCTAACATGTGACGACAGACTGGCCCCAACTTAGGAGCAGAAAGGGCTCCGAAGCCCATTTAAAAGTGCTTGTTTGGAATGTGGACTCTCCCGATGTTGAGGAATAAAAGTGTTACAAACCCTGGTCAAGACCAGACTAGGCCTCCAGCTCAGCACTAAGGTTCATGGTTCCCAAAAGCTGGAAAAGAATACTGGGTGTTTCCCTCGGCACACACCGGCCACCACACCCAAGTGAAAGGTGTAAGAAGAAAGGGCAAGAAAGGTAACAAACACAATACCAAAAACAATGTAAAGACACTGCACTCTCAGCGGTCAAGAGCGAAGACCTGCTCACCGCCCGACACGGCTGTGCCCTCTCCTGGGTGCTGGGTCCACACTCCCCTGGTCTCTATCTCTTCCGTCTGGATCTCTCTGTCAACATTATCTTCATTGCACTGAACATATGCCTTAAAAAAAAAAAAAGATGCCGGAATTAGCACTGGGTCTCCACTTCAGAGCAATTTCTCATTTTTCAATTACTGGAAAAACAATTAAAATTTTGAAATTTTTAAAAATTAAAAATAATGAGTCTTCTTGCTTTTGTCAAAAGTATCACGGCATCAAGAACAATGTCGCAAAGACCACCTGTGTCTTAAATGTTTCAGTCACACCAGACACTTAGGTACAGGGAGGAGGCACGGGAAGAGGCGCAGAGGTCCCGGGAAGGGAAGGACAGGCATGAGCTGGAGCAAGAACAGCGATAAAAAGGAAGCTACACATTAAGACCCCGGAGCTCAACGTCCTGACTTTGGGGCTGACAGACCGAGAGCTGCGCGGCCCTCCTCCACCCCCGCCCCCGGGAACCGAGACTCTTCACACTGCGGGTGCGTGGAGGGCACAGCCGTCCCCACGGAGAAAGGGTGCTCTAAGTTCCCCAAGTGTCCCAGCCTGTGGGAGGAGTTTCCCAAAGCACCGGAAGTGCGTGAGGGAGCACGCGCAGCAGCCCCAGCCCCTCCTGGAGAGACCAGAGACACCCTGCCCCAAACAGCCCGGGCGGGTCCAGCGGCGGAAGCTGCTCCCACCTGGAGAGTGAACCTTCTCTCTGAGAAACTGCTCTGTGCCTGCTGCTCTCCTCCTGGCTGTCTTCTTCGTTCTTTATTCAAGCACAGATCCCCCCACGTAAGTCTTCTTGCCCGGAACCCAAGGGCCCAGATCTTTGTCCACACACTCCCTCATCCCCACAAAACAATTGACCTTTGGTTTGAAAACAGTGCCACCTGGGGGCGTCTGGGGGTTCAGGCAGTTGGGCATCAGACTCTTGATTTCAGGTCAGGTCATGATCTCAAGGGATCGTGCAACCGAGCCCCAAAATGGGCTCTGTGCCAACAGCATGGAGCCGCCTTGGGGTTCTCCACCATCCGCCCCTCTCTTCTCACACACGCATATTCTCTCTCAAAATAAGTAAGTAAACTCAAAAAACAAAAAGAAGGAAAATACTGCCACCTAGCCACCAGCATCCTATTTTCTTAGAACATTCTGGCTCTGAAAAATTGAACCTAAACCAGCACCCGCTCGCTGGTGACGCCGTCGGGGACAGAAGGAACCCCTGACGCCAGCACCCGCTCGCCGGTGACGCCATCGGGGACACAAGGAACGCCTAAGGGTGATTCCTGACTTCAGACACTTCACAACCTTGTTGGGAGGTGGGACAACTACGTAACTAGCTGTGGGCACTAGTGTGGGCAAAGCGACTCTGGAAGGAGAGAGAGGAATCGGTCCTGAGGGAAGGAGTCACCTAGAGAATGGACGTGGACGATGAGGAGCCCACGGGTAGATGAGAGGAAGGCCGACAGGGCGGGGGCCTGGCACCCGGAGACCTGGGTGGGGGGCGGGGGGGGGAAGCAATAGATGTAATAGTCTGCGTGACTTTTATAGACCATCTGCAAGTTTGGGAGCACACCCCGTCCCATGTGGGCCATTCGCCCACGCTCTGGAGCCCTGGAGCGTCCGCACAGGCTCCGGTTTAGGGAGAACCACGTGACAAAGGGGTCCCTTCCTCTCGAGCGCATGCCCTCCACACACCACTCCCAAGCTCTCGCGTTCTGAAACAAGACACGCACGGCGCAAGTACCCCTTGCTGTACGTTACTTGCATTCTGTCACTTAGGTAATTTGTCTTGTACCTACCTGCTTGGTATTTTTCCTCCCGAAGCTTCTGATATACATGTCATATTCATTTACTGGTGGTAGATCCAAGAGAGAGAAAGTGAATGAAAAATCCAGGTCAATGAGCCGGAGCAGTTTTGTACTGCGTGTCCTTAAAAGTAAATTGGATACAAGACAGAAGTTAAATTGAATAGTTTACAAAGGGGAGAGTGCAAGGAACCTTACGGTCAGGTGCAGGCAACTGCCGAGGACGAGTTTCTGTGTGGGTGTGAGTCGTTAAAAATAAGACAGTCACAGTACATCAACAATGCGAAAGCAGAACAAACCAAATTCTGTGCACCTGAATGAACACAAAATAAAGTTACAATATGTGCATTCTAGATCTTTCACGGACAGCAATCACTTTACCTCACGAACTGATGTCTCAGCCAGAGGGGTAACCTTCTGCAATGTCACCTGGGCTGTGGCCAGAGCACAGCTGACCAGGTGTGTCCTGTCCTTTAGGCCACTCTTCCAAGATGACTGGACAGGACGCGGCCGTGCAGCACATGGCACGGCCCATCGCCCCTCCTGCCCGCAAGGCTGCCGGGACACTGCTGCATGCGGTTCCCTGCGGCCTCCGCCTTCCGGCCGCCCAAACATGGCGTGCCCGTGAACAGTCCCTGTCCCCACTGTCCGGCCCGCTGCAGTACGAGCTCTGTCTGGGCACAGTTTCCTTTCTTTCCTGTGCGGGGATTTCCGCACAGCTGCTGCTCAGTCTGCATGTGGTGAACTGCCCTCTGCCACTCGGGCACCTCACGAACGAGATCTGCTCCTTCTTCCTTGTGCATGCATTTTGGGCCTCATCAGTAACTGCCGCCTTCCCAGAACCTTATTCTCTGGCCACTGCCACCATCTTCCCAAATTATTATCTCTAGTCCCTCATATTTAGTATCATTTCTGAGCTGAAACAATTCATGTAATACACGTGCACAAGGTATCGTAATATGGTTCCATTCCAGGACAAGCTGCCCAACGTCAGGACCACAAAACAAGGGGTGACCTGTACCCACTTAGGGCCCCTCCCTGACACACACCTAACCCCCACGGTCGTGACAATCACTATACACAAACTGGAAATATTCATGTTCTTGCTTTGTAAAATATGGTTAATCTCACATTTACATATGCCTCAACACCACGCTGTGTGGTTCTGATTGTTTCTGAATTTATAAAAGTTATTCTCAACCAGATGTAGTTTCCAAGATTTGAATGAGGTTAAAGGAAAAAACAAACCCTAGCCATAGGGGCAAAAACTGCTATGGGGCGCCTGGGTGGCTCAGTTGGTTAAGCGTCCGACTTCGGCTCAGGTCATGATCTCACAGTTCATGGGTTCAAGCCCCACATCGGGCTTTGTGCTGACAGCTCAGAGCCTGGAGCCTGCTTCCGATTCTGTATCTCCCTCTCTCTCTGCCCTTCCCCCACTCATGCTCTGTTTCTCTCTGTCTCAATAATAAAATAAAGTAAAATAATTAAATTAAATTTTTAAAAAGCTGCTTTTACTACCTCACTAGGAGGCCCAAAATCTACGAACAACAAAAATGATGTGAAAACTTATTATTCATGGTTTATTTGTTTATTTAGGAAAGTTTACTGAGTACCTACTAAGACCATGTACTGAGCTACACAGTATGATGGATTTTAAACAGGTTTTAAAAACACATTTAACTTTTACACTTACTCTTAAATCATATTTGAGTTTAATATGATAGACCCTTGAGTTGAGCTACCTCCGCTGACTTTCATTAATTTCTAGTTGTATAGATTTGTAAACGTAAGGTAATTACAAGCTTGGACTGTGATATCTGGTAGCCCTGAGTTCAAAACCAGCTCCACTGTTCACCAGATAGTGACCTTGAGCGTCACTCGCCTCATCTACAAAATGGGGCTTCAGGGACGGAAGCAAGCAGTTAGCACGCAGGCAGCACAGTGCCTGAGGCAGGGAAGGAAAATCACACCCAATACACGTCACGGTATACTCTTAACAGTTTCAGGCTCCTCAGCTTCCTCATCTAAGGAACAACGCACGAGGTGATGTACCCTGAGTGGGAGTGACCCACGGAGAGGCAGATGGGGCCGGGCCCATTCCACTCAGGGAGCGTGTGGCCGTACCCCGCGCCGGCCAACCTCGGGCAGGGCCCCCGGGAGCCGCAGGAGCACGCGGCAGTGCATGCACCTAATGAGGAACATGGTATCTGACCACGGACAAGCGGAGCACGAATTTAAAAATGTACCTAAAGGCAGCAGTGAAAGTAATAAAGAAAAGCTCCACTTTTTTTAAGTATGTTGAAGTATATTAAAATTCCATAATACCCTTCCCAAATTCCCAAAACACCTACTTTTGCTTAAGGGCCTGAGTCCGGCTCTTCTGACGGCGTGAGGCTGTTGCAAAATCCATGAAAATTCCACAAACAGGGGCTCTGGAAGGGGAACTGTTTGCATCTATACAAAAAAAGAAAAGCTATTTTGTACAACTGAAATATTTCCTTCACGCAGGACAGGTTCCCTGGCTTCAGAGACCCTGGTTTCGCCACAAACTTGAAGAACATTCTATATATCAGCACTCGCCGGTTCAGTTTTGCTATCTCTGCAGCAGGTGCAACATGGGAGCATAATAATCACGCGGCCTAACCTTCGCTTGGATGACCACGTCATATTAATTACTAACCATAATTAGCTGTATTAATTACTATTATTTATTCTCTTTAAGTGACTCTAAAATATTGACTCCTACTCTTACGAGTGACTTGATCACGTGGAGATGCCAAGAATTCTCGAGCTGACACATTTCTAATTTTGCACAGAAAAACCCTGAGAAAGAAGGGCTCACTTGGTGCTTTTTTTTTTTTAACATTATTTTTGAGAGACAGAGAGAGACAGAGCATGAGCAGGGGAGGGCCAGAGAGAGAGGGAGATAGAATGTGAAGCAGGCTCCAGGCTCTGAGCTGTTTGTCAGCAGAGAGCCGACGCAGAGCTCGAACCCGTGAACCGTGAGATCATGATCTGAGCTGAAGTCGGATGCTTAACCAACAGGTGCCCCTCACTTGGTGCTCTTGAAGCCGGTTTGGTGGGCACGTTCCTGAGCCCATCTCCCCGAGCTGGCCCTCCGCAGCCACCACCTGAGCCTCCCGCTGACACTTTCATTTGTGACAGGTCAGAGACGTGGCCCCAGAAAATAAGAGACGTGCTGCAGACGGGGTGGGGGGAAGAAGGGCCGCATCCAGGACTGGCGGTTCCTGCCCGAGCACACACAGGATGAGGCACGCGCAGCCACCAGCAGGCCACAGGCGCTGACCGGGGTCATGTGCTGCTCTTCTCCCCAAGGATGGGCCTTGACACATGGTGCCATGGCCCGGCATCGCCGTGGGAGCACAGGGCGCTCACACATCTGCCCCCCATTAGAGCAGTCCCGCCCACGAGGGCCGAGCAGGCTCAGGCGCCCCACTGTCCTGAGAGACAATGAGCCCACCTGTGTCTGCCTCCCTGTCACCCTCCATCAGACCTTGCTTCTGGGACAGTTTGCAGGATAGCTCGCCAATCCTCTCGTTCTCTGCATTAATGGCTTTCTGAACTTCTTGTATCTCCTTTTTTCTAGCCAGAGGAAGCTCTTCGATGTTCTCTTTTGGTTCCGGTTCATTGGAGCTATCGTCCTCTCCATCACAAACCTCAAAGTCATCTTCGTAGTCCTACAAACAATAATCACACTTTGGAACCTTTAAGACAAACTGACCTTAAATACTCATGTGAAACAAAACATACACATTAGAATTTAAAACAGACAAAATGTTCATTATGGCTAAGAAAGAATCTTATAGTTAACTGATTTCAACCCTGCTGAGCTGTAAGTCTGTACAAACGGCTGCCGCGTCCTCTGAGAGTGAGCTGCGCCGTGTAGGTTTACATGCACTCACAGCTGCTGACGACAGAAGCATGCAAACGTCCTTGTGCTGAGAGTGGGAGAGTGTACACACCATTTACTCACATGTATACTCATTCAAACACACACATTTGAATGTGGTGCCCTTAATGGGTTAAACTGTGAAATTACTCACTCGCGTCATATTGGTAACAAGCCTAAATGAAACACCGTTGGAGTAAAAGCACCAAAAAGAGAGAAATAAAGCTACTAAGTGACTGTACTTAAGCAGATTTTAAGAACAAATTATTTTTAAGCCGAGAAAGATTTTAACTTTTATACGAACTTCAAAATCATCTTCAACACAAGCTGTATATTCATCAGCTCCAGCATTTTCCAGATCAGTGTCTTCCTTTTCAATTTCCTAGGGGTAAAAACCAAACACATAACAAAAAAATTCAATAACAAATTTGAATCTTGCAAATAGATTAGGAAAATATGTTTTCTAAGATTCATTTAATGCTGGTAATTTTAAAATGTATTTATAAAACTAATATATCCTAACTTCAAATTCTTTAAGAAATACCTTGCTAACCAGTATGACCATAAAGAGACAAAATTTAACGAACTCATCCTTTCTGAGCAACTGAACAATTCTGACGAGCTGAGTAACAGGATGTGCTCAGCGCGTCCCTCTCCTTTTCGCCGAGGGCAGACGGGCTGTGCCAACCCCGGCCCCGCAGAACCAGAGCGCGCCTGCCTGGTGGCTTGGTCCCTCCAGGCCTGGGGCTGACCAGGGGGCTCACCAAGTCCTACAGCAGGAAGCGTGCTCGCTGCTGGCATCACGCCGCCCAGTCCTGCTCCAGCTCACGAGGACCCGACGCCACACCTACACACGCCCCAGCAAGCAACGCACCCCCAGGGTGTGCCAGCCTCTCCTCCAAGGGACAGCAGGGCCGATGTGTCACTTCTCTGCAGAGCTCAAACCCAGCCAGGGACGATGACGATAAAGCACCACCAGCAGAGCCCAACGGCCCCTTCACCAGTGGCATTAAGCTGAGTGCCTGTTGCCTGACTAAGCAGTTCTGGAACGATCTCCTCTTATTAGCAGATAGTGCCATTTCCTTGATCTCCCTAGTTTGGCTTACATTTCTGAAAGTTATCTGTTACCTTGACTCTGTCTCACTGATAATGAATTGCATCTTTTGAGAGGTCTCTAGTTGACTTCTTCAATTCTCCTCAGCCTTCTCAGATTTAAATACAGAGCAATGATGAGAAGGCTGGCTGTTCACTTAGCTGGAACCTCTTCCCTGCCATGCTCTCTGCATAACCTTCTGCTCTCTCCGACAGGAAAGCCGCGGTGTCCAAGCTCACGCACAGTGAACCAGTCACCCTCTTCCAGCCCTATAACCAAGATGCCTTCGGCACAACCCACGACTCTCAAGTGCAAATTAAATGTCATTAAAATCTATTCCTTCCCTTCATACCAATGTTCTGCTATCTAAAAGGAATAATGAGGGGCACCTGGGTGGCTCAGTCAGTTGAGCGACTGACTTTGGCTCAGGTCATGATCTCATATTTCAGGAGTTTGAGCCCCGCATCAGGCTCTATGCTGACAGCTCGGAGCCTGGAGCTGCTTCAGATTCTGTGTCTCCCTCTCTCTCTGCCCCTCCCCCACTCACATTCTGTTTCTCTCTCTCTCAAAATTAAATATTAAAAAATAAATAAATAAAAGGAATGATTACTCTAATAAAAAGGCACTATGAAAGCAAAGTCTCATGAGAAAAGGCATGTCTTTGGCAAAATATGAAAGACGTGCTCTCCCTTCTGCACTTTCTGCACTTCTTGGCCTCGGAGCCCTCTAGGCGGCTCTGCTGGAAGGCAGCACAGAGGGTCAGGGTAGCCACAGAGCCCACCCATTCCCCCCACAGAGTCGCTGCCCTCAGTAGGTGAGGACTTGGGTTCTGGCCCCGAGGTGCATAAACAAGGCCACTGAGGGCAAGTAATCCTGTGTCTCAGTTTTCTCCTCTGAGAAATGGGGATAATGACTGTGGTTCCCACCCTTAGCCACAGGGATGCATTCCGGGATCCCCAATGGACGCCTAAAACTGCAGATGGTATCAACTCGTACATATGCCATGTTTTTTCCTATACATACACATCTGTGATAAAGTTTAATTTATAAATTAGGCACAGTAAAAGATTAACAACAATACCTAATAACAAAAGAGAACAATTATAACATAATGATATCCTGTAATAAAGTTACGTGACTCTGGTGTCTCTCTCAAAATACCTCACAATCCTGCACTCGCCCCCCCTGTGATGATGTGAGGTGGTGAGATGCCCATGAGATGAGGTGACAGGAGGTGAGTGAGCAGGGCGTACGCAGCGCTGGGCTACCACTGGCCTCTGATGGTGCGTGAAAAGAGGGTCATCTGCTTCCAGCCCGCCGCCCCCGCAGGCATGCGCCCCGCGGATGAGGGCACTGCCGGACCTGCTCCCTCGTGCCAGCGGCCCTGTGCCGGGGAGGGCTGGCTTCCACTCGTGCTGTGCTCACTGGCGCCAGGGGGGGCACAGGTCCCAGACACCACTGCCCGCAACTGCTCGGTGCGCAAAACTGGGGGCCGTACAGTGCGCTCCCGGGAAGAGAACAAGGGCTTCCCCGTGCGCCCCGGAAATTGCTCTGGCATACTGCAGGCTTTCCATAAGGCTGACGAATTCAACCAAGATACACTCAGCGTCGATGCTACAAAACACATGACTTAATCATAAGCCAAAACAGGCTATCAAATACTTTCAAGAATCTTTCAGGGAAAAAATATATCAAAAATTTCGCGGGGCGCCTGGGTGGCTCAGTCAGTTAAGTGTCCGACTTCAGCTCGTCTCACGATCTTGCAGTTTGCGAGTTCGAGCCCCACATCGGGATCTGCTGTCAGCTCAGAGCCTGGAGCCTGCTTTGGACTCTGTATCTCCCTCTGTTTCTGCCCCTCCCCCCCCATTTCGCTCCACCAGCAAAAAAAATAACGTAGACTATCTCATTGATAATTTTTTATATTGATTACATGTTGAAAAGATATTTCAGAAATATTGATTATAACATCTTATTTAAATGAACTTTCTTTTTTGCTTCTTTAATGTGACTACTAGAAAATTTATAACTACCGACGTGGTGCGTGTTACAACTCTAATGAACAGTGCTAATGTAGAGCTCATGAAAAGAATTGGGAGATAGAAGGAAAACATTAAAAAATCTATATTATTTTCATCCAACAACTCTAGTTCAAGAATTTATCCATACCAAGTGTGAAGGAGGTCTGCACTGGGGAAAACAGGATGCTGCACGGGGGGTGGAGGTGTGCGCGCACAGAGGAAAAACGGGGTCCCCAGTTCCCTAACAGATGCGTCAGCACAGGCTGTAAAAGATTACACAGAGGAAAAAGTACAGGGGAAGTGGTCTCTGTAAGGCTTACTCCTTTTCCTTAGCTGTGGCTTTAGCTTGGTGGGGACTTCTCCAACCAGCCCCAAAACTGAATGAATAAAACAAACCCCCATCAAAACAACACATGCTGTGTGATCTAATTTATGTAAACTTATATGTGTTTCTGTGTCTGTACATGGAATAAAGAGATGCATAAGAATTTGGCACCAAAGTTAAAGATGATTATCTCAGAGCATGGGTTTCAGATAACTACCAAAGAAGGTGACAGAAAAAATTGTTCTTCAGAAGTAATAACCCAAATCTGCTTGCCACATTACCTATAATAAAACAACAAACTAAGAAAATGGTTGGATGATAAAAGCCCAGAGCCCAGCACCTCACAGTGATCATCCCCATGAAGACTCTTATGGGAATTACGATGTTGGGCTGAAATGCAAAGACTAGGAACAGCTCACCAGCACCGAGACCTCGGCGGGAGGGCAGGGCTGTGGGTGGTGTGCTGGAGTGAAGGCGATTGTAGGACAGAGCTTGCAAGCGAGGTCTGAGCCCCGGCGTCCCTGCAGGAAGACTGTAATACTGACGTAATTCGTTTGCCAGACTTCCAGCCTCTTCTGGAGGCAGCCTCATGATTCATGTCTCCAGGAGCCCGTCCCTTCCTGTAAGCAGCCTAAGGTTCTGCGTGAGACACTGTTGCTCTATCCGCCAGCGACAGGGGGCGCCAAAGGCTCTGCCACTGTAGAATTCTCTATTTCTCCCTTTAATTCTGTATTTTAAGGCCCCTCTGTTAGGTGCACGTGCACTTATAATCGTGATATATTCCTGTGAGCCAATTATTGCATCACCATGCAGGTCCTTCACTACTCTGTCTCTGAGTTGATTCCATCTGACACTAGGGCAGGCACTCGCGCTCTGGCACACTTGCCATCTGATGCTTTACCTTGTCCAGTGTCCTACTTTCAATCCATTTGAATCTTTTAATCTAAATATGTCTACTATGCCCTCCTGGAATTACCACTCAGAACAAACTCCTCTGCAGGCATGGCCTGTCTCGGGCTCTGCTTTCAAGGGGAATCACAAACAGACTCATGGCTAATCTTGCTGCATAGTAAAATCAACATGGGGCGCCTGGGTGGCTCAGTTAGTTAAGCATCCGAGGCTTGATTTCAGCTCAGGTCATGATCTCACCATTTGTGGGTTCAAGCCCCATGTTGGCTCCACACTGAAAGCATGGAGCCTGCCTGGGATTCTCTCTCCTCCTCTCTCTCTGCCCCTCCCCTGCTCGCGTTCTTGCTCTCGAAATAAATAAACTTAAAAATAAAATAAACATAAATGTCTTACCTTCTTTCTTGAGTCTTTATCTTTTCCATTCTCTCTTACTAAACTCTCTGCATACCTAGAAAGTATGATCAAATTCAAAATTAATTTTTTTAATAGTTTATAGTCCAGTTGGTTTCCATATAATGAAACTCTTGAATGCTGAGATCAAAATTAATAAACAAAGACTTGAAACATAAAACACTTTACACTTCAGTGAAGGCTCTTATCAATATCTGATATGAAGAACTGCTGTAGACTGGCAAACGTACAAAGCCTGTTTCATTAAAACAAGAAATACTAAGATCTTCCCACATTTTCACCATTATAGCAGCAATCCTAGAAAGGAAGTACCTTCAGTAGAGAGAAGAAATTATGTGTTTTAACAAAGTTCTACATATGACTCTATATCCTTATGAGAGATCTAGAAAACTCCTGTAATTTTATTAGTCAATCCCAAATATTACTTTATGCTTATCATATCTTTATTTCCCAAAGATTTAACTTGAAATAGGTTCTATTTTTTAATCACATTTTATATGTTGCTTAGGACCTAAAACTAAGACTTTCAGAATTTCAAATTGATTCTTCATTTTCAGAACCTATATTCACCAATTCAATACAGCATGTGGTCTAAAGAACCAGAAAACTGAGCCGAAGCCCCAGGCAGCCCAGCAGGTCCGCAATACTAAGTCTAGGAACCTGTATCCCCAGGATTAAGTGCTAACTTTGCTCAAACTTCAAAATTTAGGTTTCTTTTAACTTGTGTTTCCTTGATCTGTGAAAAAGAATTACCAAATATGGTTGCCATAGAGAACAAATTAAAATCTAGAGGTTACACACAAAAAGAGTTTACAATAAATTCTAATCTGTAATCTTCATCAAAACAAAAAGCTTCTGCACAGTGAAGGAAACAATCAACAAAACTAAAAGGCCACCTATGGAATGGGAGAAGATATTTGTAAATGACATAGCAGATAAAGGGTTAGTATCCAAAAAGATAGAGAACTTATAAAACTCAACACCAGAAAAATGAATAATCCAAATAAAAAATGGGCAGAAGATATGAATAGACATTTTTCCAAAGAGCACATAGAGATGGTCAAAAGACATGTGAAAAGATGTTCAACATCACAGATTATCACAGAAACTCAAAAGTACAACGAGCTATCACCTCACGCCTGTCAGAATGGCTCAAATCAACAACACAAGAAATAACAAGCTTTGGCGAGGACGTGGAGCAAAAGGGACCCACGCGCACTCTTGGCGGGAACGTGACCTGGTGCAGCCACCACGGGGAACACGGTGCAGGCTCCTCAGAGAGCTAAGTACAGGGGCGCCTGGGGGGCTCAGTCGGTTAAGCGTCCGACTTCGGCTCAGGTCGTGATCTCACAGTTTGTGGGTTCGAGCCCCGCGTCGGGCTCTGTGCTGACAGCTCAGAGCCTGGAGCTGCTTCAGATTCTGTGTCTCCCTCTCTCTCTGCCCCTCCCCTGCTTGTACTCTGTCTCTCTCTCAAAAATAAACATTAAAAATTTTTTTTTCAGGGATACATGCACCCTGTTGTTTACAGCAGCATTATCTACAACAGCCAAGATACAGAAACAGCCCAAGTGGCCACCGAGTGATGAATGGGTAAAGATGTGGTGTACACACACACACGCACGTGCACGCACACGCACTGGAATATTACTCAGCCATAAAAACGAATGAAACCTTGCCATTTGCAGCAACATGGATGGAGCCAGAGAGTACGCTAGGCAGTCAGTCAGAGAAAGACAAACACCATATGATTTCACTCATATGTGGAATTTAAGAAACAAATGAGCAAACGAAAAGAGAGAGAGAAAAACCAGGAAATGGAGACAAACCAGAGAACACACTAGTGGTCACCAGAGAGAAGCTGGGTGGGGGATTGGGGTGCACTTGTGATGAAGACCGGGTGACATACAAGTGCCGAGTCACCGCATCGCACACCTGAACCTAACAGAACACTGTATGATAACGAACTGGAATTTAAATTAAAACTTTTAAAAAGCCTAGAGCCTACAAACAAAATGAGACGTTACACACAAAGTCTAATCTGTAACCCTCACAAGACCCACACAAAACAAGTATCCTTAGTAGACTTTACCAGTGGAGAAAGGATGAGGGCCTCCCAACACCCCAAGCAGAGGCAGACCTGCCCCCCAGCAGCCTGGTGTCCACCCTGCCTCTCACTAAGGTGACAAGGCCAAAGAAGGCGTATTTAATTTGTGCTCTGACGTATATACACTGGCCAGGGGGCCCCGGCTGGCAGGAAAAGGGGCCAGGAGCCTGCCCGCAGACGCCCCGGCCTTTCTGGCAGCTGTGCTGCCAGCCAGGGGGGGCCCTCCCCCCCACGCTCACACTACAAAGTTGGTGCTACCTTTCCAAGTTTGTATGAGCAGACACTATAAAAGCAAAATAAGAGGGGCACCTGGGTGGCTCAATCAGTTAAACGTCTGACTTGGGCTCAGGTCATGATCTCACAGTTTGTGAGTTCAAGCCCCACGTCGGGCTCTGTGCTGACAGCTCAGTGCCTGGAGCCTGCTTTGAATTCTGTGTCCCCCACTCTCTCTGACCCTCCCCTGCTCACGTGCTCGCTCTCTCTCTCTAAAAAATAAACGTTTTTTAAAAAATTAAAAATAAATATAAATAAATGAATAAATAAATGTTAAAATTTTTTTTAAGAAAAGCAAAATAAGACTAATAATTTATAACAGGTTTCCAAGCTCCTTCAGTACCCCTAGTTTATAATTTCGATGGGTTCTATCAAGAGTAAATAAGTACACTCATACTTCACTCTCATTTACTGGCTCTAATGAGGACCAGTAAGAAACAATCATTTTAAAGCATTTTTCGAGAAACACAGTGCACATAATAGTCACCAGAGAGCGCATGATCCTTCCTGGCTGCCGCTCGGATCTCTTCTTGAACTTGCACCCCGATTTCTGTGCTCACTGTTCTATGAAACAGAAAATTCCATGACATTCATTAATATATCATAGTAGAGTAACTGTAGTTAGTAAACTCTGTAAAACAAGTATGGACTCAAAATTCAACAAAAGCATCTTCACCACATGTATCTTTTAAAATATCTGTTTTTACTAGCTAGCTTTAGTAAATTACATACTTAATGTAAGGAAGATGAGGAAAGCTGTCTAAAAGGTGATTATACATTACCTCAGTAATAGAAATTTATACTTATTAATTTTACATTACTTTCAGATAAATCTGACGAGTCCCTTACATTGCTTAAAATTATGCACTTTCAAACATAATGTGGCTACTTCATAGATCCATCCACCTACAGAAAAGAGAATGTAAACAATCCTCTCTTGAATTAAGAGAACTTGTAAAAATAAAATTAAAACCATCAGATTTCAAACCAGCACATCCAGGTAGGTCACTGCAAAAGAGGCATCTGTTGAGTAAGCACTGGCAGGAGCCAAGCCCTGCAGAGAGGGGGACCCGGAGGGAGAGCCGCCTGGTGACGAGGCCCAGGAAGTGGCCTCCTAGGGCAGAGAAAGCTTCCAGACCTGGGGACTGACCCCTGAAGAGCGCAGAGCAGGAGAAAGGCAGGACTAAATCACTCACTGAGAAAGAGTCTGGAGGGCAATACACAACATGTACCAAAAGCCTTAAAAACAGTTAAAAATATTCAAATTCTTTCTTCAACCTATAAATTCTACTTCTGGGAAATTATTCCTAGAAACCAATCAAAGATGTATTAAGGTTTTCAATCTGTTCATCACAGAATATTTATGAAATCAAAAAACCTGAAAGTTCAATATTAGGTTACCTGTTAAATAAATAAGGTTATGACCATATGAAAAAATACTAGATGGCCATTAAATACTCAATTATTAAAAATTATTTTACAGGGGGGCGCCTGGGTAGCTTAGTCGGTTAAGCGTCCGACTTTCGCTTAGGTCATGATCTCGTGGTCCGTGGGTTCGAGCCCCGCGTGGGGCTCTGTGCTGACTGCCAGCTCAGAGCCTGGAGCCTGTTTCGGATTCTATGTCTCTCTCTCTCTATGACCCTCCCCTGCTCACGCTGTCTCTCTCTCTCTCCTAGAAATAAATAAAACATTTAAAAAAAAATTATTTTACAGGGGCATCTGAGTGGCTCAGTTGGTTAAGCGTCTGACTTCAACTCAGGTCATGGTCGCAGGGTTTGTGAGTTTGAGTCCCACATCGAACTTGCTGACAGCTCGGAGTCTGGAGCCTGCTTCAGAATCTGTGCCTTCCTCTCTCTCTGTCCCTCCCCTGCTCATGCTCTGTCTCTCAAAAGTAAATAAACATTAAAAAATATGTTTTCTAATTTATTTTCCAGAATAAAGAGAAAAAAAAGCATGATTTCAATTTTGCATTTTTATAAAGTTCATTTATATATAGGAAAAGAATTTTAAGTATACACATTCATTAGAAAATGGATTATCTCTAAGTGTGGGATCATGGATAAATTTTTTTAATTCTTTAAAAAATCTTTCCTTGGGGCACCTGGGTGGCTCAGTCGGTTAAGGGTCTAACTTCGGCTCAGGTCATGATCTCACGGTTTGTGGGTTTGAGACCCGCGTCAGGCTCTGTGCTGACAGCTCAGAGCCTGGAGCTTGTTTCGGATTCTGTGTCTCCCTCTCTCTGACCCTCCCCTGCTCACGCTGTCTCTCCCTCTCTCAAAAATAAATGAAAACATTTTTTAAAAAATCTTTCCAAAATTAGAGAAAAGTATAATTACATGTTCAACAGGAAGAACAGCCTGGCATCAGTTTTTAAATACACTGGAAGAGGGAAAAATGAAATCAGTAGTGGTAGGGTAGGAAAAAATTATGATTTAATGTTTTTCTAGATATAAAGAAAACAAAGAAAAAGTAGTCATGAGCTCAGTGCCTTGTTCCCAAGCGGTGTGGGCTGGTCAGGAAGGTTCTAACACATGCCCACTAGGCCCTGTTGAAGTCACTACCCCAGAAGCAGAAAGGAGCACATCCATGTTCAGCGGTGGTTAACAGAGGGATGGAGCCACGGGATTCAACAAGTCAGTATTGCTCAGTATTACCCTTCAAAGACACTTTGTTATAATTATTATGCTTACTCATGCCTCTGCATCCCTGAAAACTGAAGGAGCGGGGGACCAGGGGCTCAATTGGTTGAACGTCCCACTCTTGACTTCAGCTCAGGTCACGATCTCATGATTCATGAGATCAAGTCCTGAGTCAGGCTCTGAGCTGACAGTACAAAGCCTGACTGAGATTCCCTCTCTCTTTCTCTCTCTCTCTCTACCCCTTCCTCCCCTGCTCGGTCATGCTCACGCTCTTTTTCTCTCCCTCAAAATAAATTAACTTAAAACAAAACAAAACTGGAGGAGGGGGCACCTGGATGGCTCAGTCAGCAGAGCTCACAACTCTTTTTGTTTTTTAATTTTAGAAAGGCAGCACATGTGAGTGGGGAAGAGGGACAGAGGAAGAGAATATTTTTTTTTAACTTTTTAAAAATGTTTTATTTACTTTTGAGCAGGAGATGGCGAGCGGGGGAGGGGTAGAGGAGTGCGGGTCAAAGGACCCGAAGCAGGCTCCGTGCTGACAGCGGAGAGCCCACCGTGGGGCTTGAATTCATGAACCGTGAGATCATGAACATGAACTAAATCGGAAGCTCAACCAACGGAGCCACCCGGGCGCCCAGAGTATGTAGACTGCCCCTCACTTTGCTCCCACCTGACAGGGAGCACTGCCAAGGGCAGGAAATGAAATCGCTTTGCCTCAGAGTCTGGAAAAACAACACAGCAAAAAGTATACACATGAGAATAAAAACTACAATTGGTATGGGAAAATATTAGGCAATTGCAATAATTATTAGACCCTTCGCAAGCAATGGCTTTATTTTTGTGGTCTCTTTTGTAAACTTAATACCATTATTTCTGATTCAAACATTTTGCTATTCAGTTACTTTCCACTTAAAGATATCTTCCTTTTTAATGTTTCAAAATTTGAGTCTTATGAGAGATTTCTGAATAGACGTTACAAGTGCATTCACAATACAATCAGAAAATGTGACTTCCTAGTTCCTAGCAGGTCAGCAATCTCTGTGTCGGGCACCCTGCCCTGAACCACGTTTTTACTGAGGTTACTACTTCTCGGCCACGCGTCTTGTCATGTGGGCACACGACATCTTGCTCTAAGAGAGTTGGTCTCAGGACGGCTACAAGGGCTGTGAAGCGTCAGAAGTGGTACCTTGGACTCTCTTTTCCTCGGCTCCTCTCCTGACGACCTCTCTCTTCTCCCCGTGGTGCTGTGGTGCCGCTCTTCATCGACGTGAGAGCCTTCCCTGTGCCGCCTCTCTCTGTGTCTTTCTTCCCCTTCCTTGTCAGTGAACAAATTACTTTTTTCTTTTGAGTACTTGTCCCTTTTTTCCCTCGTGCTGCTTTTTTCTCCATGTTTCCGTTCTCGATCTGGTTCTCTCTGCCTCCTGTGTCTCCGCTCACCTCCTTCTTTGTAAAGCCAGTACTGAAGAGGATTGTCTTTACTGTCGCCGTACTGCAGCTGTGAAGGGGACCCGGGGAAAACCACGTGAGCACAGGGAACACGGCCGCTGGCCTCATACCTGCTGTGACCAAGGCGGCGGGAGCCGTGCTGCTGCTCACTCCTTCATCCGGACCCTGAAGATGTGCTTCTGGAAAGAAAAACCTGCTGCTGGCCACACAACCCAGAGGACAGAGGCAACACGGTGCACCCGCCTTCACCCTCAGGTGGAACGCACGTGCAAACCCCTCAGCGTGGCAAGTGCACCCCTCCTCTCCCCGTCATTCTCATCACCTCCTCCCCAACTCTGACAGCATCCTGCGCTCCACAGACCCACGCTCCCGCCCGTGAGATGTGTGACTTCTGTGAGCAGCGAACCCTGCGCCTACCAGCCTGTCACTGGCAGCTCACACGTCTGCTCCCCCACAGGGAGATTCTTAAAACATGGCCCATCCCTGCAGCCCCAAAACCACTGCGGGTGCCCAGTAATAACGGGTGACCTCTGTCACATGGCGACGCGTGGCTGTTGCAGAACAGACTGTCAGTGGGTCATATTTCTGGCCCCCAGCTTTTAGGATCATCATCAGTAGGTCTCAACAGGACCACAAATGGAAATGCCCTTTTCCTTCCACCCAGGGCCTCCTCTACTCACAGCAAACAGGTTGTCACTGCTCGCGCTACAGCCGGAGAGCTCTGTCCCCGTGGTCCCCCTGCCGCCACCCCTCCTGTGGCCGCCCGGCAGCCCCGGCTCCTCTCCTTCACCCGACTCCCTCCCACTTTGCTCACCTCTGCCAGGACAACTTTCCTATGAAAACCACGTGGGCAAACTGCTCGGTCGTAAGGTTAGACTACTACCACACACCTGTCACCAAAATGAATTCTACGGGGATTAAAAACTTCAGGGGTAAAAAACTACGACAACTCAAAACAAAATACAGGCAGTACTTACATAATGGTGGTGAGGGAAAGGCTCTCCGAGCATCACACAACAACCAAAGCAATGAAGGACAGACTTGACTACTTCACAACTTTAAACTTACTTGTAAAAACAAAGATTCCACGAGAAAAATTCAAAACAGAAACGGAAACATAAATAACTAGCGAGGAGCTCGTCTTTAAAGTCCTCTCAGAATAAGATGCTCTGTTAGGAAAGGAAGCAATTGCCACTGGGAAAAACTAACAAGAGGGTAGTAAACCCTTTCATAACATGCTAAGAAGTGCGCCCTTGTTCAGAATCAAATCAGCAAAAATTAAAAATTACAATCATGTCCAGCGGCTGCCTAGGACACGGAGCGTTATACTCTGACGATATAACTAATCACAGCGTTTTTGTAGAGGAGATGGAGTAAGTTTACATCACCCTCATCTAGCAAGCTCATTTCCAGAAATTGATCAGAAGAAAATAACTACAAATAAATGAAAGACTTTGCCCCATGCCTGTCTTTATAATAAAAAACATCCAGAGCCTAGGTGTCCAAAAAAAGCAGATGTGCCAAGAAAACTATGACACACCCATATCACTGAATGTGATATTGTGCAGCCACTAAAATAATATTATAGAGAAACAGGACTTAGAAAAATGCTCCAAATGTATCGTTTAAACAGTTCATAAAACTCCACGTTAAGAAAACAAGTGTGTATTCACACATATGCACACAAATACATACATAAATCTACTCTATCAGGATAAATACTTAAATATTATCAATAATTGTCTCTGGGTGAAATTTGTTTTTATTTTCTTCCTACCATTTGGATTCTCTAAATTTTCCAAAATCACCATGTACTTCTCTTGGAATCAGAGAACATCACGTGTGTGAGGGAAAAGCGGAGGCAAATTTCCTCAGACCTTGAATCCTGTTACAACACTTAGCCAAACTGCTTCTAAAACTCCTGTGCGAGCGCCTGCCCTGGGCCTGGGCTGGCAGCCTACCTTTCTTTCTCGGTACCGCCGCTCCCTCTCTTCATCCCCCCGTTCAGAGTCTTCGTCTCTCTTCTCCTTGTCTTCAGCTCTCGCTTTGCTGCCTATGGAAAGGGAACATATTTTCAATATTCCCAAACTTTCGCACATCACAATGATCTTCTAACATCGTCTGCGGTCTTCACTGTACATATTGCAACCACCTATGAAAACAGAGTCTTCAGTTAAAACACATCCTCCAATATTAAAAATGGAAAATTCTAGGGGTACCTGGGTGGTTCGGTCAGTTGAGCATCCAACTCTTGGTTTTGGCTCTGGTCGTGATCCCACAGTTCATGAGATCGAGCCCCGTGCTGAGCTCCGCAACGAGCAAAGAACCTGCTTGGGATTCTCTGTCTCTGTCCCCCTCTCTCCCAGCCTCTCTCCTACTTGCACACTCACACACACTCTCTCTCTCAAAAATAAGTAAGAAAATTTTTAAAGAACAGAAAGTTCTAAAATCTAAACTTAAAATGGGCTGAAGAGGGAGATCACAACATCAACTGCCATGGAGGGAACCAGGCTAGCCCGCTGGAAACTCGAGGGGGCACCAGCCCAAATACACCTGCCACCTGAGCTCCTGGCCACTGACTGAGGGGCTCAGGGAAGCAAAGTCCAGGCCACGGAGAAAAACTGGCCTGGTCACCAAGTGACTGGCTGCAAAGAAAGCAGCACCTGCCTCAGGGATGCCATGGGAGCTGCACAGCCCACGGCCTCCTGGCGCCCACTGCCAAGGGCACAGTGGATGGGGGAGGCCCCGATGACAAGGAGAGCGTGCAGCCCGCCCACTGGCACCCACCCCTACCCACAATTTGAGGTGTCTCCCTGCTGGTCAAACTAGAGTTTCACTTTTGAATCTGTACAGACAAAAAAAAAAAGTCATTAGACTTAAATTTGAGAGAATCAAGATTCCAAAAGATGAGGACAAAATTAAACAGAGAACATGGAAATAAAGTCCTTGTGGGGCACTGACTGCTTTTCTGGGAGCCTGGGATACAAGAGATCCAAACGGGGTCAGGGGCCAGGTGGCGGGAGACTGCAGGACAAAGTGGGGTCAGAGTGACTCCTGCGTTTTCCAACCCAAGGAAGGGAAGGGTGAAGCTGCATCAACTACAATGGGTCAGGCTTTGGGGAAGTAGGGTTTGTGGGGATTTTAGAAGCTCAGTTCAGGACCCATTATGTTTGCAACATCCATCAGACATCAGAGGACAAGACAGTGTGTAAGCCCAGCACTCAGGGAAAAACCTAGCTGGGAACCCAAACTTGGAAGTCAGGAATGGAGGACTAGTATATAAAATCACGAGAAAGGGTGCAGTCACTGAGGGAGTGGCAGACGCAGAAGTCGTACAAAGAGCAGGGCCACGCTTCACAGAAGAGGAAGCTCAGAGGAGATGGGGAAGGGCACAGTAATGCCAAGGAAGGGGAAGGAATGTCAGAGTCTAATCGTACGATTACTCGTATCAATAATGCATTGAAAAACTAAGGTCAGGGAGCAACCACAAAAGAGTGATCTGAGAACAAAAAACATTTCATTAGAAATAAATATCAAGAGCATCAATATAATAATCCTTAAAAGAAGCAGCGGATAGTAGGATAGTTGCTGTTAAACTTACGAAGTGGTGACCCTGCTAACCTGTACGTGCACCCCTAAGTACTCCTCACCCAACAAAAGAGCGCTCACAGCCCGAGCTGCACCGCCGCTGGGCTGTGTGCCGGTGCCCCAGCAGGAGGCGACAGGACAGGAGCAAAGGGCTAGGTGTCCGTCCTTTTCGTAACCAGGGTCCCAGCCTTCCCGATGCTTCTAACAATCCCTACACGTCCCGTAAATAGATTCCTCTTTGTGGGGCGCCTGCAGGGCTCAGCTGTGGTGTCTGTCTCTTGATTTTGGCTCAGGTCATGATCTCACGGTTTGTGAGATCGAACCCCACCTCAGCCTCTGCGCTGATAGTGTGGAGACTGCTTGGGATTCTCTCCCTCTCCCTCTCTCTCCCTCTTTCTCTCCCCCCTCTCTCCTCTCTCTCTCTCTCCCCCCCTTTCTCTCCCCCTCTCTCTCCTCTCTCTCTCTCTCTCCCCCCT